GGCGGTGCTCGTCGAGCACCCGGTTCTGTTCGAAGACGAACCGGATTCTCCAACGAAACGCGACCAACGTTAGGTCGAGATCGTTTTCGAGCTGTTAGGTGCTCTTGAACGCGAGTTCGTGGCTACCGATAAGCCGAGGAAGAAATAAAGCGTCGAAGAAATCCACGGCTCGAAAGTACTTAGGAGGTACACAGGTGCGCGCACGCGCGCGTACACGCCTTCGTCGTTCGGTACACCTGCGAACGCCGCGGCGTTACCTTCTTCCTTTTCTTTTCTTTTCTTTTATTTCCACTCCCACTATGTTTTTGTTTTCGCTCGAATCGTGACATCGTTTAACGACCGTCGTAATCGTCGCAACGAAGAGAGACGTCGAACGCGGACGAGAATCGAAACGACTCGTTGCGCGACAAACTGTGGCCACGAGCAAAATTAGGTGGTCGAGCGACCAGCAGGGGAAGTTCGACACGCGAGGAAACGTGCGTTTCGATCACGGGAGATTGCCCCGATCGTGGAAAGCTTTCGTGTTCTTCGACGAGTGTGTCTGTACGCGTCGCTGCTTTTTGCTTATCGATATTTATACGTGTGATTGTTGCCGTGAAAAGAGGAGAGTACCTGCGAAGGATCGTGTCTCGTGTTCGGGTTTTGGGTAAATGTGAACGTGTCGAGAGTGTTGGCATAATTATCGTCCCATCGTCGAGCCGTGCATCGGCGTCGTTCAACGAATCGACGAGCTCGTGACATTCTTCCGAAGGATAACGCATATTTTTCTAACAGAAATCGAGACGACGAGCAGCCCGCCAACATTGATCGGTTCGATCGACGAGTCCATGCCGAAGAATTGCCTGGACCCGTTCGAACGTTTTCCAAAAGTTTCGATAACGAGCCGAACACGGAGCCACGGCGCTCTTTCTTCCCGTCTGTTAACGAAGCTGGCCACGAACGCGGCCTAATCGGTTCGGAACCACCGCCATGGACGATCGGGAGAGCCCGTTTTCTCGGGCGCAGCCGAGCAGAGGCTCGTTTCGATCGCAAAGCGGTCGCAAAAGCGTCGGAACGAGCGTCGCGACGGACAATCAACGTCGAGCGACGCCTCGACGAAGCAAGGAGACGAGCACGGCCAGTCCAGCCGCGAGCGGGAAGTTCGTGGCGCCTCGCACGGCGTTCGATAATCTGAAACAATGGGAACTGGTGGAGGATGATCGCGGTCTGCAGGTGGTGGAGAAAAGAAACGCGTCGAGAAACGCGGAACGTTCCTCGAACTCCGCCGAAATCCGAAGTCCACCGCTCGCCTCCAGAAAGACGCTTCCGACGAACGTCGCGGTAGACGCGAATCTCGAGGAGAAGTTGAAGGCCTTCAAAGACTCGAAGATCGTTCAGCCGATCGACGAAACGAAGATCGCGATCAATCTCGACCTGATCTTGAATCAACGAAAGGGATCGGCCGTCGAGAGCACGGACATGCTTCAACGTTTGGAGCAGCAGGTCAAGGCCATCGAATTGGACACGCTGGCAGCTAGAACGCGTCCGTTGGAGATCAGCTCCGATTTCGAATCGGACATTCGATACAGGGAACACGAGGATCTGCTTCGAAACACGACGGATGACGAGGCCGAGGGGTAACATTTTCTCTCTTCTCATCGTACGGAACGCGACCTTTTCGCCCCTTTTTCGTTATTTCATTTCGATTTTTTCTTTTTTCTTTTTTGCTTTCGCTTCTTTTTTATTTTCCCGTTCGAATTCGGACCGCGGGTCCCCCTTTCGTTGCACGATTCGTCTCGAATCCGTAAAAATAAGAGACGCGTAAGTGACGATGGTGAATTAAAACGAAAAGGGCCTCTCCGTTGCACCGAGGAGACGCGACGAGGAACTCGACGGGAAACGCCGGCGTGATCACGAAGAAACCCGCGACGAAATTGTCGAGGACAGCCTCGGACACGAGGCGAGGACAGGAAACGGAAATACCCCTCCGAGCGCACCCTAGGATACAGCAAGCGCGCGCGTTCGCACGGCCCATCGTCACGAAGAAAGATCATCGACAACAACAACAGCAGCAGCAGAAGCAACAGCAGCAGCAGCAACGGCAGAACAACGCGATCAGCAACGCGCTCAGACCGTTGTCGGACATCATGCAGAAGGGTGGTCAAAATGAGAAGGAGGTAGATATCGTTTATATAGGCGTACGATGATAAATAAAGGTAAACCCTGTCGGCGGGGGGATATGTGTCGGGGACGTAAACGTTAGGGGTTGGACGAAAAGGAGAGAGAATCGACGGAATCTTTTTTTTAAACAACGTATAATTACGCGATCTTCGTACCGAAGAAAAACATTCACGACTACTTTACGCGTCCGGTGTACATCCGTCGCTTGCTCGCTCTGCGCTTCGTCCGTTCGAGCTAAAATAACGCGCGGATGGCTTCCCTGCCTGTGCCCGTTCGCTCGTATCGCGCGAAGGCGTATCGCCTAACGATCGCGAAACCTATTCGAGCCGATTAACCTCCTCCGCGTTACGCGCATCCTCTCCTTTCCACTCCTCTTCTCTTCTTTTCCCTTCTATCGTGTCCCCAAGTATCGCGACAAAATTTCGGAACCGTTCGATAGCTATCTCTTCTGTCTTTTCGAGTAGTACGGACCACCCGTTCGAATTCGTCGACTCGAAAAAATTGTTCCGTCGATTCAGAGCGAACAGCTGACCGGCCGAAAACTCGGTTTCTATCGTGCGCGCGCGTGCTCTGCCGTAAAAGAGGCAAGCCGCGTTTCGTTCGCGCGGACCGTTGACGAGAACCGAGAAAGTATCACCGAGGGGTTGGAGCACTCTAGGATAGCGAAACGGTGGTGGCACTTATTTCCGTGGTGAGCGCATGCGTAGAGCATCGACGACGTCGTCGTCATCGTCGTCGCCGTCGCCACCACCACCACTGTAACTCACCACTACCACCGTCGTTGTTGTCGTCGTGATCGCGTCGGGGTAGCTCATGAAGGAGAAAGAGAAAGAAAGAGAGGGAGCGTGTGTGACCAAGGAGTGTGTATGCGTGTGTGTCCGTAAAGCTAGGCATTCAAGGGTGGTTCGCTTCCACGCTTTCAACAGGAGCAGAAGCGGCAGCAGCAGCAGCAGCAGCAGCAGTAACAGCAGCGGTAGCAGCAGCAGCAGCAGCAGCAGCAGCAGCAGTAGCAGGGGGTGGCGGCATTACGCGTATTGATTCTCCTTTCGCATCCCTCGACCGTGCGCTCCTCTCTGGCCGACAAACGTCTCGGTCCGCTCGAACAGGGCAACGGCGAGAAGGTAGTCGCGTACACGGTCGTCGTCGGACGACCGCGACGACGACCAACCTCCACTGTCGCGTTTCGTGATCATCTTCCATATCGCGAGTTTGTGAGTCGTGAGTTGTGTGCATCGTCGACAACGAGAATGCGTTTCGCTCGATCCACGTTCGATTCATCCGAAGCAAGAAGACCACCCGTTGTAATCAGTGACGTCAGACGCATCCATGGCACGCCTCCGAAGCCTCGATTTCTTCGATCGTCGATCGGTGGTTTCTTTGCCGAACTTCGAGCCTCGTCGAATCATCGCACAAATCGTTCCGTTTAAGTCTTGGATCAAGCTCCGGGGACGACCTGCTTCTCGTTCAAGCGTAATCGTCGCCGACTCACCGTTCTCGACGCGCGCGACGCATCGTTCTCGACGAGAATCGAGCACGAATCCTCCGGGAATCGGTGCCGCGCCTCTCCCAGGAACATTTCGTCTTACGAATTCGATTAACGACGAGTCTCGCGCGAACGAACAATCGTTTCGACGCGAACGCGCCGGATCCCTGTATCCGATGATGCGCGACGAACGATAGATAACCTTCTCTTTCTCTCGCCGTACTAGAATATTTTCGTCGTTTCGATAGCTATCCGAGGCGGATAAGAATCGCTTTGGACGATCGTGGTTTTAAGGTTGCCGACTGCCCCGTTCGAAACCCTTCTCTCTTCTCGTCGTTTTCGTTCACGCGTCGAGCAAATCTTCCATTTTTTTACTGTCCGCCGACACGTTTCATCGACCGATTTCGAGTACGTGCATCGACCAATAAAAGTACCCGTGTACCTGATTATGCGGATCGTAACGAATTATTCCCCGCAAAGGACCAAAAATATATGCTTTATCTTACGTCGTCGTGTCGTTATCGATTTTAACGCGAAAGAACGATACTCGTAATTTTATATTCGCTCGTTACTCGAGGCAGTCGCGGTTGATCGAACTCGCCACGGAATAACTAGAATGAAACGAAACCTTTCTGTTCGATCGCCTCGTCCGTTCGAGCCTTTTCTTCGCGCATTCGAGACAATAATTCGTTTTCGTTGAGTCGAAAAAACGAGAATAATATCCTCGTTTCTCAACGACGAGAAGCGATACGTCGTCGATTCTATCCCCGATTCCGCGTTGATCGTCTCGTCTGTCAACCCGTCGAAGAGATCAGAGATCAAGCTGGCGGCCTCGAAAGTTGCTGCGGCCACCTCTTGCAAGATGGTCACTCGTGGCCACACGCGGGTAATTGACTTCGCACAAATTAACTTGTACATCGTTCGTTTATTTTTCTCTTTTTCTTTCTTCAGTTTTCTCCTTTATTCGTGTTTCGTTTAACGAACCGGTTCGAAAGCGTCATAGAAATAAAGTATTAGAATCCACGAAGAGAGGCAAAGTTATTTTAATTGAAACTATAAATTGGATCGTTACGGAATCGTTGTTTCTTTTTTCTCGTTGAAAGTTACAGCGGGTAGGTTTCGTCGAGCAAGATAACGAATTGTGTTTCATTCGAAACAATTCGTATCTGGTGCAGCTTTAACGAGCTTCAATTAATTCCATCGACGATTGCGCGTCCCTGGAAATGTCGAGCGTACTCGCGCGACGCGCAAATAAATGCAACGATGTGGGATCGTATTCGACGATTCCGAGCAACCCGAGTGTTCCGAAGCGAATTCTGCGCGGCTTTCGTCTTCGAACGAAATTAACGACCGCTTTAATCGCGTTACTTACAATTAGTCGCGCGCACGATTGATCGTAAACGACACGGTAACCGCCGAGCGCGAACCGAGCGCTAGAAACAGCGTAACATCGTTACGGTTTCGTTGCCGTTCACGTTAAAAGCGAGGATTTTTGTCAGTTACAGACAGGGGATGGCGTGGGAGTGTCGAGTAGCGGTGGTCGGCTCTCCTCGAGGAGTCGGACATCGGAGGAGCCCCACATCGGCAAGTACAAATTACTCAAAACGATCGGTAAGGGTAACTTTGCCAAGGTAAAACTTGCCAAACACGTGCCCACCGGGAAAGAAGTGGCTATCAAAATTATCGACAAGACTCAACTGAATCCCGGTAGCCTTCAAAAGGTAAGGAGAAAAGGATGGTGGAGGAGCGTTAAACGGTCGAATTTGAAGTGATTTTTACGTCGCTTACAGTTATTCCGGGAGGTAAGAATAATGAAGATGCTCGATCATCCGAACATAGTGAAGCTTTTCCAAGTGATCGAGACGGAGAAAACACTGTACCTGGTAATGGAGTATGCTAGCGGCGGCGAGGTGTTCGATTATTTGGTTCTACACGGTCGGATGAAGGAGAAGGAGGCGAGAGCGAAGTTCAGGCAGATCGTGTCTGCCGTGCAATACTGCCATCAAAAAAAGATCATTCACAGGGATTTGAAAGCCGAGAATTTGTTGCTCGACAGCGAGATGAACATCAAGATCGCTGATTTCGGTTTTAGCAACGAATTCACGCCGGGTAACAAGTTGGACACCTTTTGCGGATCGCCGCCTTACGCAGCGCCCGAACTTTTTCAGGGTATACTCGCATTAATACTCGACATTAACCTTCTTTTCGTTTTTCCTTTCGTAAAGTTCGTTCGAGTCGATTACTCGACCGGAAGCGCGACACACTGACGATGCTCTCGTTCATCGACAGGTAAAAAGTACGACGGACCCGAGGTAGACGTCTGGTCGTTGGGAGTAATATTGTATACTTTAGTATCCGGTTCGTTGCCGTTCGACGGCTCGACCTTGAGGGAACTCAGAGAAAGGGTATTGAGAGGAAAATATCGGATCCCGTTTTACATGTCCACCGATTGCGAAAACCTTTTGAAAAAGTTTTTGGTGCTCAACCCGACGAAACGGGCTTCTTTAGAGGTACGTCACGTTCCAAGTTCATCTCGCGCGCACGCTTTTAAACCGAGCCTTGCACGACCTACTTTCTATCGTTTCTTTCTTTTCCTGCCGTAGACTATAATGAAAGACAAGTGGATGAACATGGGATACGACGACGACGAACTGAAACCGTACTTAGAACCTGAACCTGATTATAAAGACCACAAGAGGATAGGTGAGTCTGCCAGTATGTACATAAACACTTACTATTTATTGTTTCTATAGCGAGTACAAAAGTTGCGTATCGTTACGTGCCGCTCTCTTGTGCCATTTGTAAACTTTAGCAGTCGTAGAGATCCGTAACCCTTTAAACTTGTTGTTTCTGGTGTAACGATCGTTCGAGTTCCCTTTAGAAACCTCCCCCTTGTTCGTCTCGATCGATCAGCGAACGCGCGAAACGATTATTAGAATTAGCATGCGACGTTTCGCGCGTCGCGTCGAGTCCCTTTCGAGTCGCGGCCAGTCGGTTTTTGTTATTTCGATGTTCCTAGTGGTTGTGACTATGCCGCTACGCCTGTTTGTTTTAGAGGCCCTGGCTAGCATGGGATACACGAGGAGCGAAATCGAAGATTCGTTAGGGCAGGCAAAGTACGACGACGTGTTCGCCACATACTTATTGTTAGGAAGAAAAACGACCGATGTAAGTGGAACGGAAAGAGTGTCGAAAATCTCGCTCGTACTTAGAATCGAAGCGGGGGTCAGGTAATAATTGTCGATTAAACCGAAACATCGATGTGTCGTAGCCTGAATCGGACGGTTCGCGGTCAGGCAGTTCGTTGTCGCTGCGCAACATTCCACCGCAAGCTGGTTCGGGTGGCGGCGGAGGAGGCGGCGGAGGAGGAACCGGAGGAGGAACAGGTGGCGCGGTGCAAAGCCCGTCTCACAGAGGCGTTCACAGAAGTATTTCCGCTAGCAATCCAAAACCGAGTAGACGAGTTTCGTCCGGTCTCGAAACGCTTCGTAAGTGAACGTTGCTATTTTCTTCGCGTCGCTCCCGTTCGAGTTACGGTATCAAACTTATTATCGAACCTTATCGACGTCGAGTCGACGCGAAACAGACCAGCCGTTTAGGTAAGAACTATCGAGCCGGATATCGGATCGTCGTGAACGAACTTGCGCGCTACCGTTTCGTCGAATCGAACGATTACCACCGTGTCGAATACAAGCGTCTTCTCGTGTCTCGTTCGCGCTAAACCGTGTTGTTCACGCCGTTAGGAGCAGCGCCGAGTCCAGGAAACGCAACGAACCATAATCACGCGACTGCTACGACCGGCGGCACCGTGACTGGAACCAGCGGTAGTAATTTTAAACGACAAAATACCGTGGACGCGGCCACGATCAAGGAGAACAGTGCTCGTGTATCCGCGAGCCGACCCTCGGCTCCTAAAAACAGTCCAGGCCAATTAGATACCAGTGAGTTCTTTTTTTCCTTACACCGTAACTGTTTATTTTTCATTTAATTATTTTCCTTTTTTTCTGTTCTTAATGCAACTTTGCGACATTTTGTTCAATTTGTTTTTTTTTTTACGACGCTCTATTCGTAAAGCTTCAGCAAACGTATATCCGCTTTGGATAAGGTTGCCGTTACTCGTCACCTGATCCGTCGAATTAATTTCGATTAATTTGTAATTTACTCACGTTCTTTAATTTTCGTTAATGTTACGCTACCCGTGCTCCTAATTTTGCAAACCTTTCCATTTTCGAGATTAATTTAGAAGTTAACTCTAGATCAAACTTTGACTCTAGTCGATCTTTCGCGTCGATCGAAAGAATGCTTTTCGTAGATTCACCGCGACACACGATAGGGGCAAACGTTTAATCTAGAGTTAGAGAATTCTTATTGTCCGTAATTATTTCAGCGTCGCATCTGCCTCCTCTTAATCTCGCGATAGAGAATTTGTTTTCTCGATGTCAAAGAACGTGACAAAGTGCGTTGAAACGGAAGCAGATGAGACGTTGCGCTGTTTCCCTGTGTTCTAATACCTCGTTGCCGTGCCTTTTTATAATTTAGTCAAGTACGCTGCTTTGTTTTGTGTTGAACTATATCTAATGAGGCTTGCAGTGACAATGTTCATTCTAGGCGTGGGTACAAGTCCCGGTGGTAGGGGATGGGCAGGCAAGAGCAACACGATGAACGCAGGGGTAGGTGGTGGTCGGCCACTCACCTCACCTGCCCCTGGTTCTGTCGGTCGACGTAGTACCATCTCCTACGATCAAGCGAAAACGTCCTCCTCGTCTACCGAAAGAACCAACGACGCACCCAGGTATAGTGACATCCAATTGTTTCTCGAATCGTATGTTTTATAAATGTTGCGCCGAGTTAAAAAGACGGAAGTTGATATAAACGAACAACGTTCTATGCGATTTCGAACCGCGTAAAAGTAAACCCTTTTGTCGCGTAAGGACGCACACGCTTTCCTCGAAAACGTCCAATTAGACGATCAACGAATTACTTATCGAGCGATTCGCGACCGGTACGCGACGAAAGGGTTAGAAACGAACTTGAACGCGCGACCGTACGTATACGCGTACTAAGATCGAATATACGTTTCTTAACGCACACCTAAATGTTTGATTTGTGATCCGCATACTTTGCAGTGTCTCGTTAACTAAACTGTTTTTTTCATTGTATCGACTAACCCCATAGGTGATTGATTTGCTCGTGCGTTAAGCGAACTAAGCGAAAACGGATTCGATGAAAATTGTCGAGAAACCGATCGAGATAACGGAAAATCTGTCGTTAAGCCCCAGGGAGTTTCTTTGTTTGTTGCATCGCTCTAGCATGTTGGCTGCTGCCTGTCGATCGTTCTCATCGCAGATCACTTTCTTTATGGCTTGACGGATTAATTAAACCGTATAGTTCGATCAAACGTATATACCTACATTTATACAGATGCTTGCTAAAAGTTTTATACCGAGCCACAATTATACATTTCACACGTTTCCTTACTCTTCTTTTACAAGCGTATATCTAGATTTACCAACGTGCGTGCATAGAAACGACCATTAACATCATCATCGTACATTCGTCATACTCACGTTTTAGCCTCATGTTTCGTTACCCTTTGTCTTAGTGTCGTTCGCGACGCGAAGCGAATCGAGATTCTCGTTTGCGCCCTTTTCCTTTCATCGTTTTTCGAGTCGTTGTCGTCCGCGTAAGGCGAGCTTCTCTAATTATCGACTCTCTCTCTTTTCTCTATGTACGTTTCTCCGTTCGTCCCCCCGTGTCCCGAGTTAAATCGGTTCGGCCAAGAAAAAAAATCTGAACGAGATTCGTCGTTCGAACGACGAGAGTACGTATATCGCATCGGGGTTACGTAGCGCTCGCTACGGAGTTCCGATGCGGTGACAATTCGACGAGAACGGTCATATTAAGTCGTCGAAATGTAGACGATTCGCGAGAGTGGCTATAGATATCGTAGAAGAACTAGGGCCGGGCAGTTTGTTGATTAGTTTTGTACGCAGCCTGGGCGAGGGCACTAGACCAACGCGGGGTCACACCAAGTCTGCGAGCATCAGCGCAGGTCACCGTTCCTCGAGTGGCGTACCCCCCAGCGACCATTCACTACTGGACCCTCAACCACGCAACGCCCACAACTCCTTACTCGCCACTGCTGACCCTCTTAGACAGAGGTACAGGTCCCCAAAGCCTTATCAACCAACCCGTATACGTTCCTCTACTAGATGTCTCCAAAAGTCTAACGCGCGATGTATCCAACAAATTTTTCGTATTCTTCTCTCCCCGAAAACGTCCACTTTCTCACTCTCGACTTTCCACTTTCGACTTTCGCTCTTCTCGATCGTTACTACTTATCCGCGAGAATCGTTACGCTCGATCGTGATCCGCGACGAAACCATCTTTCTTAACGCGATCGTCGACGGCGGTATGAACGCGCGCTGGACTATTGGAGCATCCTGTATTGCGACAATTATTCGGATACTTTTTTTCTTTTTTATTCGTTTATATACTACTTTCTTGGGCCACTAACTTTCTTAGGGTAACTAGGACTCGTGGTCTACGCGAAAAAAGAAGCATGCTGGTAAAGCCGTTACGACGTTCAACGGTTCTCGTAAAACGTCTCGCTATCGAGCGAGTTGTCCTCGTAGGTTCTCTAGGACAGTTTCTGGTCATTTTACTCGTTACTTCCTTTATTTTGTCTAACTTATGTTTCTAACTCGCATGCTTATCGTTGTTACTTTTCCATGTTCTGATCATCCGCTTTGATCACCGTTTCATTTTCTGAGCATTTCTCATTTAGCGCACTTATCGTTGAACGCGAACACAGTTATGCATTTTCGCTCGAACGCGTAGAACAATTTTTTTTTGCGTACACGACGTAGACGCGGTCGTTCGAAGCCGTCCCTTTCTTCTCTTTTCTTTGATCGTTTTCGTCGTTGATCGCGTACACGCGAGTCTACGCGATTCGCGAACGGATCGACTTCGTTCGATCGCGCAAATCGTCGTCGCATGCTGAAACAAACGCAAACCGTTTCGACGCACCGTCAACTCGACCGTCACGTAACTTATGATTAGCGAGAGCTAATTCGTTTAAAGTTCCGCTTCTTTAGCTGAAGTCGTCGAAGCTTGTTTTGCAAGACATAGAGACATCGCTTGTGCATCGTGTACTCTGATATATTATTATATACATGATTATCCCCAAACGAGTTCGCGCTAACAACCAAGGTATCTTACTTTATTTTCTACGCGTACACTTTATTTTTCTGCATCTTGTTTCTAGCTTCTTCCGTAACGAAAGATACGCGAAACGGAAAAAAAGGTCTACTCGTATTACTCGTTACTCGTGCACAAATTGCTGATAACGAAGCAACACGAACAATGCAATTATTCTTTATATGTACATATGATTATACGTACGTAAAGCGTAACGATCATCGTCGATCGGTTCCAACTTGATAAAAATCCTTGTTTTTGATTAGCTTGGGCGTGTCTCCAAGCAACAGACTGGCAACACCTACGACACCGGCATTTCCTCGAAATGTTCCAAGCCGTAGCACGTTTCATTCTGGCCAGAACAGAGCTCAGCGAAATCATACTCAGGTTCGTACGAATTCTCTATTCTCGACGTATCGTAAGAAATCGTTCGTAACTTTCGATCGTACGACGCGACTGTCGCAAATCATTTTACTCGATCAATTTTTCAGGGTCACACGCATACACAGGATACAAATGCAATTAGCCCACTAGCGAGACCGTCCTTCTTCTCGAAATTATCCTCGAGGTTCTCCAAACGGTAAGTTCAATCGATTCGTACGTATACATCGTACAGACGGTTTTTTTTTTTTTTTTTTTTTTTTTTTTTTTTTTTTTTTTTTTTTTTTTTTTTTTTTTTTTTTTTTTTTTTTTTTTTTTTTTTTTTTTTTTTTTTTTTTTTTTTTTTTTTTTTTTTTTTTTTTTTTTTTTTTTTTTTTTTTTTTTTTTTTTTTTTTTTTTTTTTTTTTTTTTTTTTTTTTTTTTTTTTTTTTTTTTTTTTTTTTTTTTTTTTTTTTTTTTTTTTTTTTTTTTTTTTTTTTTTTTTTTTTTTTTTTTTTTTTTTTTTTTTTTTTTTTTTTTTTTTTTTTTTTTTTTTTTTTTTTTTTTTTTTTTTTTTTTTTTTTTTTTTTTTTTTTTTTTTTTTTTTTTTTTTTTTTTTTTTTTTTTTTTTTTTTTTTTTTTTTTTTTTTTTTTTTTTTTTTTTTTTTTTTTTTTTTTTTTTTTTTTTTTTTTTTTTTTTTTTTTTTTTTTTTTTTTTTTTTTTTTTTTTTTTTTTTTTTTTTTTTTTTTTTTTTTTTTTTTTTTTTTTTTTTTTTTTTTTTTTTTTTTTTTTTTTTTTTTTTTTTTTTTTTTTTTTTTTTTTTTTTTTTTTTTTTTTTTTTTTTTTTTTTTTTTTTTTTTTTTTTTTTTTTTTTTTTTTTTTTTTTTTTTTTTTTTTTTTTTTTTTTTTTTTTTTTTTTTTTTTTTTTTTTTTTTTTTTTTTTTTTTTTTTTTTTTTTTTTTTTTTTTTTTTTTTTTTTTTTTTTTTTTTTTTTTTTTTTTTTTTTTTTTTTTTTTTTTTTTTTTTTTTTTTTTTTTTTTTTTTTTTTTTTTTTTTTTTTTTTTTTTTTTTTTTTTTTTTTTTTTCTTAAATATCTGACAGCATGCTAGTACATGTACCACTGTAAAGTTTCCACCGTTCGTTCAAACGTATATATACATATAGATAGAAATGTGTGTATATATATATATATTTCTTAACGTTGCGACCGAACTTCGGCCACGTGTCTTTTCGTAACATCGATACCGGTTCAATAAGCGATAGGATTCATTTTTTGGCTGTGAGGAACAAAATTTTTGTCCATCTTTCGAGAATAAGAGAAAGAAACACCATATTGCGCCATTGTTCCATTCGAATTATTTTTGATTAATATCGCGTTTACCTGCTATCTACCATTCGAAACGACCATCGAACTTTTTTCCATGAATCATACGATCCGATTTCATCTCTGTGTACATAGCGTAAAGAAAAGAATACAACACGGCAGCTTTTGCAGTGGACCTTCGATGCATGCGTAGAAATTGATCCTGTAAAAAGAAATAAGACAAACGATTTTGGACCGTATTTATACAATATATCCATGCTGCAAATAGTTGATAAACGAGTCGAACCTTACAGTCTTGCATGCAAATACGACATTTCTGTTTTAAGGATGCACAATGACTATGTAACTTTCTGAAAACTGTATGCTGATACGACATACGTTTCTGTTACCGAATTGATTACAAATTTTTACATACGTATACGTACCGTATTATCATTAGAAAGAAAAAGAACGATAAAAGAGTATTATGATCGCCTAGCAATCCGATGAGCGAGCAGCGACCATTATCAATGAAAGCCAGGAACACACGTTGCTTATTCACGATATCAAATATAGTTTCATTTTGTTTTCCCTTTTGTTCTTTTGTTGTTTATACGCTACTTTTAATTGATTCCAAAGTGAAAATCGCGTTTACGCAAGAATTTTTAGCGTTTCTTTGCCTCATAAACGTATCTGCTTGAAAGGTTTCTAGCACCCTTAGTTCGATTCTTCGTAGACCGAACGTTACAGCCTCTCTCTCTTTATTTTCTCTTTTTCGCTCTCTCTCTCTCCCTCTCCTTCCTTCTCTATCTCTCTCTCGCTATCTTTCTCGATCTCTCTCGTGCTTTCTCTTCGTTTCTTCGCCTTCGTTTCTTTCCTTTCCCAAAAGAATACGTCGTTCGAGAAGAGCGCGAAACGATCGCGCGCGGATCCTTCGCGAAACGTATTCGTTGTCCGTTCCGTACCCGCATCCGTATTTCACCGTATTCGCTTAACGCGTTTGAACACTGTCCAATTTTTGAAACAGAGAAAGCCTCGAGAGAGATTCGTCGACGAAAGTAACGTTTGCTTGGCCGTGTTCAGGCCGCCTCGCATATTCATTGTGCATCCCTTTTTTTGACTCGACTTGTAGCGAGGTATATCCTTGACTTTTAGTACTTTACCCACTCGATAAATGGGACACCTCTCACTCTGTCACGTGCAACGATAAACGAGAACAATCGCTACGGTGACGAACGCGCGATCGTCGTCCAGTCGCGTAGAGCAGACGAAACGGGAACGGTGCACGAAACCGAGTCAGAAAAATCGCGAGGAAGAACCGCGAGGAACCGCGCGAGGCCACAGAATAACGGGAGTATAAAATCCGATTCGTCGTTTCGAATAAAAAAAAACGCTATTTAGTGTACTTTCATGATATGGTCACTGTACGCATTACGCATCGGCGATAACCGCGATAAAACGCGATAAAAGTTTGAAAGAAAAGAGACGAGAAAGACAAAGAAAAATAGAAGAAAAAGTAGCCGATTTACCGAGACAGCATAGCCATTGGTGCATCGCTTAACATTCTCTGACATTTGAATTAATTTATACCGGTGTATTCTGTGCTACAGGACATGAACCGATTAAAGCTTGGCTTCGCTCGAGTTCCGTCAAACAAAGGCCATAGACAAGCGCGAAACTAAACGACCAATGCGCGCGCTCACTCAGAACTCAGAACTAAGAACTCGAAAGTGAGAACTCAGCATGCCCAACGAGCCTAACGCGCGTTCGATCCGACCGGAAGAATGGCAAACGAGTTCGCGGTACCGACCAACCGTCCACGGATATCGGGATGCGTTGGAGAGAAACGATACGCGAACCAATGAAAATGCTACGAGAAAGAAAAAGGAAGTAAATGCGTTGATTCGCTCCGTTATTCTGTGGTGCATCGCCAACTAAGCCAGAAACGCTCGTCGTTTTCGGACAACGTCGTTATCTTTTGTTTGTTCATTTTTCTTTTGATCTTTTCTTTCCTTTTTGTTTTGTTCTCTCCTATTATCGTTTTTACTTTTGCGAACGAAAGACTTTGGTGCACCGAACGCGACGTTCTCGCGTTCGTAAGCATGCGCGATCTCGACGATTTTTCAACCGCGAAACGTCTTCCTGACGCGCGACGATGCAGGAAGGCGCGCCTTATCCACTTACAATTAAACATAGCGTTCGAACACTTGTGCCTTTTCCTAACTCAGCCTGCCAGCTATAGCGAACGCGTGCGCTATTTACGCCGCTCGTCATTCGAAAGACATATACTACCTAATCTCTTTCTATTTTTATACTTGTTCGTCGTGACGTACTTCGGCTTCGTTTTCCTTTTACCATATACCCTCCCTACCCTGTAGGGTAAACGCAACGAACCTCGATCGTTCGTTGATTCAGTTCGTACGTAGCGGTAGCTTTTAGAATTAACTTCCAATAGCCATTTAGCTGTCGAACCGCGTCCGTTTTCCATCGAAATACGTATTTTCTATTGTCGCGTTATCGATCACGGTGTGCTCCCTTCTCCGTCTGCGAACAGCCGTTAAACGATAACACGGGACTGTAAAGTCCATGGGGAAAACAGGGTAGAAACGAGATCGTTGCAACGCGCGATACGCGTGCGTGTCACTCGCGTCCTATACGAGTTACGCTACCGATCACGCGATTCGAAACCGCCCTCTTCTTTTCATCCGCTGATCGAATAATGGTCGAGGAACGCGGGTGGTCTCAGATTTGTCGCGGATAGCGTAGAAAATAGTGCCTGTAAACGTGTCACTTGTAACGCGGGAATCGCGTTCCACCTCGACAAAATTTCTCTTCCTCGTCGCGTCGAAAATCGTATCCCGCCGTTCACCCCGTACGCGTGCACTCTTGAGCGCTCTTAACGAAACGTTACGAAAGTGGTATAATTGTACTAACAAAACGTCACGCGGTCAATTTTACAAAGATGATAAAAGTACATGGAAATTCTTCGTACGTTGACAGGTTTTCTAAGTGAAGGCTGAAGTCTCGCCTTGTTTCCCCCGGGCCGAAACGAGAGCGAGCCGCACGCTGAATATCAAGCAACCGCAAAACACAGACATTTTACTGGCAATGTAGTTAAAGTCTGATTAAGTGGCCAATCGTGACTTCCTACGTAGCGTATTCTTTTAATTTTCCTTTTTTTTTTCTTTTTTTTTTCTTTTTTATTTTTTATTTCACCCTGTATCTCTCTCTTACTCTTTCTCTCTCTCTCTGTCTCTCTCTTTCTCCGTGAAAAAGAATCCTATTCAGGATTACGTCGAACACGTCGTTATCGTCGAACTTTATCGATGTCGTACACGGTTTACGAGTCTGGATGGAAATATGTTGGATAACGAATTAATCTCTTTTTCTTTCGTTCAATTCGAACGCGATCGCGCTTTTCGTTCTTTTTTCGCCATTCCGACAAATCAAAAGTACCGCGTTATTAAAAAGAAAGCGATTTCACGATCGTCCTCTCTTCCTTTTTTCGCTTTCCTACAATCGATATCCAGCATATTCGTTCCTCTCGAGTATCGGATAGAAAGTTTTGTTCCGACTTTGAACTAACGCGATAAATGTCTGCCAGAAGATTCTTATACCTCGATTCTTTCGTTCGATCACGAATTAACTTTCCTTATACGAATATTTGTACGCGTATATCGCGATATACGTATGCGTGTAATTTATGTAAATATATTGTACCGTGATCTATGTATTCGTAGTATTTGCATTTCGTAAAGTATTTTGTACAGCTTCGCGACGCAAAAGCAAAGCACTAACGAACGAAAAAAGAGAAGGTTGGTTGCATCTTCTTATCGGTTAGCGTAATTTTCTCGCGACGTTTCACGCTCCCGTCTAAAACGAATCGATATCTACACCGCTGATCCTTCGTTTCTTCGTGTCTAACGTTCGATGCTGTGCCTAACGATCTTCCGTTTTCGCTTTCACGCTACACGACGCGCTTGCTCGATGCGATTCGACGAACACGCGTGCTTCGCTTTCGACCAGTGAATTTGAGCTAACACGATGAAACGTACATCGAAGGTATTCCGAATCATAATCGAGCCACGAAAGAAGAGACGGAGAACGCGCGAGAAGGAGCAACGGATATATCGTGCAACTGATTTTTTTTGTCAAAGATTGTCGCGTGTTTATTAGCATAATTATGCTCGGCGCGTATAGCATGTACACGATGACCGATAAAGTAACGATTGTCGTACGATTTACTTGTAAGTAACCGAAAGGAAAGAAAGAAAAAAAAAAACAAAATTTTTGTAACGCATCGTGCAGAAGTGAAAATGATGTGAATGGACGAGCGAATGAGCGAACGAGCGATAGAAAGAGAGAAAGAGAGGGGGAGAGATTGCCGTCGAGTTAGTTTAACGACCAGTATATTGCTCCAGCTTTTCGTTTTCCACGGATCGGGAAGATGGGTTGTGCCTAAGTTTCCAGAAAAGCTCGGTTGCGCACGGTGATACGAGTACGTTTTATCGCGCGTAAACCTTTATGTTTCGCCTATGATCCGTCGACGATGCACGATCGTTCGCGATTCCTTTTTCTTCTTTCCGATTCATTTTGCATTTCATCGCGATAATCGTAGATCGAATGTTCCGTGTAACCCGAGACTCGCAACAGGTACGTTGTACGGTACCGATTCCTATTTTTTCTTGTATGCATTTTCAACCCGTCGAAGGATCACGCGTTTTCCGTTCCTTGTTCGTATTTACCTTGATGCTAGAATGCGTGCGACGAGATCGTAGACTTTTATAAAGAAATGAAAATAAAAATGAAAGAAACAAAAAAAAGAGAAAGAAGAAGAAGAAGGGGGAAAAATCGATAGCGCATTCCTAAGGCCACCCACGAATCGATCAATCCATAATAGCGTACACGTGCACGGTAAGAGAGACTCGAGAAAAGATATCGAAGCATTTCGATCGTCTTAGGCGTCGCATACACGCGTGATACGTGTACAGTTTACGAAGTAAAGAAAAGAGAAACGGTATAATACGTTTATATGCAAGATTTACAACTATAGCACATCTGTAAATGAACAATGCTCTTTGCTGCACTCCAGAACTCTGTGCCCGTCCAAATGTTCTGAGAATCATTTTTTAGCATTTTTTTTCTTTTCTATTTTTCGTCTTTCTTTCGTTTTTTTCTTTTCTTTCGTCGATGAACCTTTGATCGAAACTGATTTTGAACCGATATCGAACGAGTCCATCTCGAAAGCATCTTCTTTTAGATCTTTACGAACGGAGGGCAGTAAATAGCCGATAGAAACTGAATAGAAATATTATTTAAAATAATTTTAAGAAGCAATAATAGTAATAATTTCGTATTAATAAATATGTTAAAACTGCCTTGTACATGTGTTGTATCAATTTATTTCTGAATCCTCTAGTCGAAGAGAATCGAGTACGTTCGATGTATTTTCCTTTTCTTTTTTTGTTTGCATTTTTTTCTGTTTCAGTAAAAGCATCGCGCTCAATTTGGTTTTGTTTCGAGCAATGAATTTTTCTTTACGTTGCACGATATTAGGTACGACGATCGTCGAGCTGATTGCGTTCGTCGATAGATCGCAAAGTACGAACGTTCGCGTATTCGCTTGGAAGGATAAAATTGCTGGAAACAACTCGACCGATTATAGTACTAATAGCGATAATGGTAGTAGTAGTGTTAGAAATAATAATAATAGTAACAACATTATTATATATATTAAAACAACGATATGAATCATTATTTTTACACGATTAAAAAGAAAAAAAATACACGAAATTAACGATTTTTGGTTTTGCGACATCTACCAATACACCCGCAATTCGTTATTTTTTTCGCAAATAGATGCGCAGTGATTATAGAATGGTGGTGGTTACACATGAACTGAATTTGATTCATGATTTCTCATATTTAGCGTTTGTTAGCAACTACCTTTGTTTTGTTATTTCAGCCCCATGGACCCATCCGTACCCCCCAAGCACCCAGTAGTGAGGTACGTTGCTGCATACCATAATACCATGATCCACGCGTTCTAATTTTTCGAATCTAAACCCCTGCTCTTTTTATTTTCATTTTTTTCTCTTCCGAATCTTCTAATTCCGTTTCATCCTCTTCTTCATTTGTCATGATCGTCCAACTCTTTGTTTTCGTTTTCAATTATTCTGATGTACATTACAGATTCGTTTTATACCGCGTCGAAAACGATAAACGAAGAAAGTTTTATTAAGATTGAATTTCGCGGAACGAGTTCGACGAAACGTGACAAAACGTTAACTTGATTCCTTTCGGCGTCGTTACATCGCGATTAACGAATTTGTGGTTTATCGCCTAACCGCTGTGCGTAAAATAACACGTGTGCTAGTGAAAAATGTATTTTTGCAACCTCACAGATTTACTTACATTCGTACATGCCATTTGTTAATAGGAACGGGGTATTTACGCATTCGCTTTTCGCATCTCTACCAGATCCTCCTATATCCCTTTCTCTCTTGCTTTTTTTCTTTTTTTTTTTTATTTCTGTCTGCAGCTCTCGAAATATTTTCTTAGATTCTTTCTTCGCGTTGCTCGAACGCGAGGCGAAGAAAGAAGAACAGAAACGTCTAGTTAGGGGTGGATCGCGATCGCGCGAAAAGACGAAACGAACGATCGTGATAGTTCCAACGACCGATCCTCTTTCCTTATTTTTTTTTTTTTTTTTTTTTTTTTAATTTATCGATGTGTATAAAACACGAATTGCATGTGTGCACGCGCATCACGTTATACGTGTTACGTGTTACGTTTTTACGTGGTGTCCTTCGAAGTTTCACCGATCGACGATTTATCGCGAAACATGGGCGTTAACGCGTGTACGATCTTTTGATCGTTGAGACGAAGAGATGGAAACAGAAGGAAAGGAAGCGAAAGGCGTACCACGGAATACGAGAATAACAAACGCGCTAGAATAAGAGTACGAGACGCGGATAGGAGAAAAAAAGAAAAAGCTGGCCGATATCGAAATAATCGCAAATAGTCGTCTGTCGCATGTTGGACAGAAGCGTTAAACGTTAGCTTAAATCGAGCGGATTTAAGACGTTCTTTTGTTACAGCGGAGCAACCACTAACGATGAGCAGGTTAAACCACGCAGTCTACGTTTCACATGGAGTATGAAAACTACGAGTAGTCGAGATCCGAACGAAATCATGTCCGAAATTCGAAAGGTATTGGCCCACTCTGGTACATCCTAAAATGGGTTTATGTCCGTTTGTTTCACACCGTAGGGGAAGTAACTCGAAACCGATAGTCTAGCTACTCGATAAAATAGTTGTCGGCGTGTTAGGTCGTGATAGCGTTTAGGTATAACGAAGGTGAGAAACGAACGGTTTAACTAACGTTTGTCGATCGCTTCAGGTATTGGACGCCAATAAGTGTCAGTACGAACAGCGCGAAAGGTTCCTGCTGCTGTGCGCGCACGGCGACGCGGCGACGGACAGTCAAGTACAATGGGAAATCGAAGTTTGTAAACTGCCACGGCTTTCTTTGAACGGCGTACGGTTCAAACGCATCTCAGGCACGTCGATCGGTTTCAAAAACATTGCCAGCAAGATAGCGAACGAGCTCAAGCTGTGACTGCCGACAACAGGCGCCCTAGCCGCCCGCGCCAACCCATAACGCCCTCGTGATCGATGACACGGACTCGCAACCGCAACCGTTCACTTTCACTATTACTTCTTCTGGGATCTTTGCCTCGACGAATCCGCTTCTACTTCCGTTTCCGCTTCCACTTGCACGTCCACGTCCGCGTCCACTTCCGATTCGCGATCCCGATCCTCCTCCAAATCCGACATCGATTCCTGTTCCCAATCCGAATCCGATCCGACCCGAGAGATCTTCGTTTAACGAATCCTCCCGAGGGACCCAGTCGAACGGCGAAAGTAACGTCGACCGAGCCGAGTCGAGCCGAGCCGAGCGGAACGGAGCAGAGCAGAGCTCTCGCCGATCGCGCACCGATCTACCAACGCGTAACAATCGTGCCCGGCTTCCAGATATCCTGGAACACTGTGATTCACGTTCTAACGATTGAACCGCGTACTCAACAAATACTCTCGAGTGCCAAAACGAAACTAGGATCGGTTCTCGAAATCATGACCGACGCGAGACAATGAACACGAAGAAAAGAACGAAAGACAGTTTAGTGGCAGCGAAGGAAGGGACAGCGCGCAACAAGCGACACAACAAAATAAGAAGAAAACAAGAGGTAGAAAGAACGGACCGCGATGGATAATCGTTTCAAATTCTTTCCGTTTAGACGAAGAACGCCGTGGCGACCAAACGGGAGAGTATTCGAAATCTCTCTTCCTTTCTCTCCCTCTTTCTCTTTCGCTTACCCTGCGAAAACGATTATCGCCAAGTATTACGCGATCGAAACAGTTTTCTCGATACGTTGCAGCTGTTCGTCGAGCGAACAATACGTTTATCTTCTTCTACGATTATTACGCGCGTTCGATAAGTTGTTTCGTTCGCGATTCGCTTTATCTTTCGGTTAACGTCTCGTGGTTCGATCGTACCTAACGAAACGACTTTGCGGAAAGAACGGAAGAGGGAGGGAAGAAGGAGGGAACGTGCACGGAGAAGGAACGTGCCCGTTAAGAAAGAATAAAGGGACACTCGTAGCTAATGAAACGATCAAAGATGTTCGATCGAACGCGTGCATCATCGTGCGGAACACACTTACAACGTCAAGAGTCTTTCTTTTTCGTAACGTTGTCTTTTTCAAATAGGTTTTATATGTAAGGGAGCACTTAACAAGACAAGCGGTCTGTTTGTACATAATCGATCAAATTACTCGAGAAACCTGTAAAGGAACGCGTAACAAAAAAAAAACATTCTACTCGTCAAAATACTATCCTTTACGCTCTGTTATCGTTAATTCATCGTTCGTCGAACGTTGAAAGCAACTCAACGGTGTGAAATGTAATAACGCGAGCGAACTAGCATCGCACGCGCCGAACCATTTACTCTTTCAAATATTTTTATGATACTTTACTTTTTTTATCTACGTTATAAGTTTAAAACTATGCAACGCAACTATAGGCGTTAGCCAATTAATGAATGTCTAATGATTATGATGATGATGATTATTATGATTATTATTATTAATATTCTTATTTTTATTTTTATTAATAGCGCATAAATAATATTATGACACAATATTAAACGAGACAGAGAAGGTGATAGAAAACAAAAAGGAGCTATTAGTTAACGTAAATTAAAGATTGTCGTCATCGCCGTCGTTGTCGTCGTCGCCGTCGTCGTCGTCGTCGTCGTTGTCGTCGTCGTCGTCGTCGTCGTCGTCGTCCTCGTCGTCGTCGTCGAACAATCGTATTCGTATCGAAACGGTACGAGTAAAAAACACAAGGGTACTTTTGCTCCGAACGAATTCCGACAGTGTATACCTATGAAATAATGCACGCGCGCACGACACATCGTCGATTACGAGATCTGTTATTTCTACGAAAGATACCGTGTAAGATTATATATTTAAGTACTGTAATTGGCTATACGCTGTTACGCTATTTAATCTTTTATTCGCAGATGTATTCGCGGTTGAATCAACTTAAATTAGAATTATTGTAAATGTAGAGGCGACTAGAGAAACTTGGTGTATATACATAATATAATATTCGAAGGTACTAAATTAACCAAATAAATGAAGCCTCACACCAAGAAATGCGAACAAGAAAGTAATAAAAATGAAAATATACGAATGAATGCGGGAGAAGGAGGAACGAGACGATCGAAGTGGGAAAGGAGCAAAAATATGAAGTACTGAGAAAAAGATAACTAAAAAATCACACGCAATGAAACGACACAAAATACGAAAAGAGAAACACTTCGGGACTCGAATATATACCGCGATCTTTTTATATTTGCCTAAGACTAAACGAATACATTACGCGGTTAGGCGATTACTAATTTATTTAAATAAATACAAAACTCGAATGATTTTTTCACGTTTCTAACACACGCATACACACGGCGCGTTAAGTACAAACGCGTACACGCGACAAACGTCGAGTCAAAAAAGAAAGTCGAGTCTGCCCGATAGAGAATTGTGTGACCCTTTCGAAACATTACAAACGACCGATACGCGATTACATACATGTACTAAATACCGTAAAATAGTCTATCGGAAATGTGTTCGTTCACGAAAGCAAAGACCACCAAAACGGAGTTTTCGATTCATAGCGAACCATTCTTTCACGTACAAGTGCATCGAAATTTTGTTCATTACCGCTTAACGAAACGACGAACGATATTCTTTTGGTTAATCGTCGACGGAACTTGACGTTGTTCTCGATACGAATTCTGTAACGTCGAACGCGATTTCGAGCGAAAAACGGACGCACCGAATTCAACCAGAAAGAAGCAGGACTTCTCTTTCGTTCATTCTTTTTTAACCAAAAGTAAAGAAAGCGAAAAGAGAGAAAAATAAAAACAGGAAAGCGAAGAAAGGAAGGATTCCCTTGGGTACAATGTGCGTATACGCGTTGCGACGATCGCGCGTCGATGACAAAACATCACTGTGTATTAATTCAAACATGATCGCCGTTGAAAAAAGACGAGACATACCGTAGAAAGATTTATCTTTACGATAGCGGTTACGAATTAATGTTACAGAATAAGATCCTTCGATAGCATTAACGGTATATCCCTTAAAAGATGCAAGTAGTTGAGAAAACGATTCTTCACTGTAACAATATACATAAACACGCATTTCATCGTCCATTCGTCGATTCATTCGTTCGTTCGTTCGTTCGTTCGTTCGCTCGCTCGTTCGCGTATCGAAACGGTACGAGTAAAAAACACAAGGGTACTTTTGCTCCGAACGAATTCCGACAGTGTATACCTATGAAATAATGCACGCGCGCACGACACATCGTCGATTACGAGATCTGTTATTTCTACGAAAGATACCGTGTAAGATTATATATTTAAGTACTGTAATTGGCTATACGCTGTTACGCTATTTAATCTTTTATTCGCAGATGTATTCGCGGTTGAATCAACTTAAATTAGAATTATTGTAAATGTAGAGGCGACTAGAGAAACTTGGTGTATATACATAATATAATATTCGAAGGTACTAAATTAACCAAATAAATGAAGCCTCACACCAAGAAATGCGAACAAGAAAGTAATAAAAATGAAAATATACGAATGAATGCGGGAGAAGGAGGAACGAGACGATCGAAGTGGGAAAGGAGCAAAAATATGAAGTACTGAGAAAAAGATAACTAAAAAATCACACGCAATGAAACGACACAAAATACGAAAAGAGAAACACTTCGGGACTCGAATATATACCGCGATCTTTTTATATTTGCCTAAGACTAAACGAATACATTACGCGGTTAGGCGATTACTAATTTATTTAAATAAATACAAAACTCGAATGATTTTTTCACGTTTCTAACACACGCATACACACGGCGCGTTAAGTACAAACGCGTACACGCGACAAACGTCGAGTCAAAAAAGAAAGTCGAGTCTGCCCGATAGAGAATTGTGTGACCCTTTCGAAACATTACAAACGACCGATACGCGATTACATACATGTACTAAATACCGTAAAATAGTCTATCGGAAATGTGTTCGTTCACGAAAGCAAAGACCACCAAAACGGAGTTTTCGATTCATAGCGAACCATTCTTTCACGTACAAGTGCATCGAAATTTTGTTCATTACCGCTTAACGAAACGACGAACGATATTCTTTTGGTTAATCGTCGACGGAACTTGACGTTGTTCTCGATACGAATTCTGTAACGTCGAACGCGATTTCGAGCGAAAAACGGACGCACCGAATTCAACCAGAAAGAAGCAGGACTTCTCTTTCGTTCATTCTTTTTTAACCAAAAGTAAAGAAAGCGAAAAGAGAGAAAAATAAAAACAGGAAAGCGAAGAAAGGAAGGATTCCCTTGGGTACAATGTGCGTATACGCGTTGCGACGATCGCGCGTCGATGACAAAACATCACTGTGTATTAATTCAAACATGATCGCCGTTGAAAAAAGACGAGACATACCGTAGAAAGATTTATCTTTACGATAGCGGTTACGAATTAATGTTACAGAATAAGATCCTTCGATAGCATTAACGGTATATCCCTTAAAAGATGCAAGTAGTTGAGAAAACGATTCTTCACTGTAACAATATACATAAACACGCATTTCATCGTCCATTCGTCGATTCATTCGTTCGTTCGTTCGTTCGTTCGTTCGCTCGCTCGTTCGCTCGCTCGCTCGCCGTTTGCTTACTTCATCAAGATACGCATATAAAGGACACGTTTAACGAAGTTATAAACGACTCGATAAGTATCGTAAAATGCGAAGAATTTTTAAGCTGTTAAAAGGAAAATAAAAAAGAGAGCTAAACGAATTTGGGAAACGGCGCGGCGGGCGCAACGCTTTGGTCGCGTCGCGTCGCGTTTGCTCGCGTGTTGCACCGCATTGGCGAACAAACTTTTGTGATTTTTTTATTTTGTAAGTAGTAAAAGAAAGGATAGCGAAACACAGGAATGTCCGAGTCCGATCGGACCAGCTCTGGTTCGTCATCCATCCAGCTGTATCACTTCGCCCTGCACGCGCGCGCGCGCAATACATACACGTGACAATTTGTAGATAGGTACGTACATACAGCTTTGCTAAATGTTTTCTGGTGATCGGTATCTAGCCAACAAAATGTAGCGAAAACGTTTATAATAAAATGGTAACACACGTTGTTTCCCAACTAAGAATCCTTTCGAAATTATACGCGCGTCACGAACGGTCCGTTCTTTTTCGAATCAATAAGAAAAAAAACAGACTTGAAACACACTTGACCAGCGATCACGTATATACATATTTTAATTTTAACTTTAGCTTTAATTATAATTTGCACGTCCGTGCTTTTATCGCGAATAACGAGACCCGTACTACAACCGCATTTCCGATTTCGATTATTGAACGAAATCAAACGAACGCGACATTTTTATAAAGTCTCATACAAATAATATTACCGCCTACTCGAACATGCGATCATTGAACTTCGTTTCCAAAAAACAAATATTGTTTCCGTATTAATCTATAGAAAAAAATATTGTTATTTATACGTAGTAGTACTTTTTGTCTACTTTATCCTGTAAATGTGTACTCCTCAGCGTTTTTCCTGATTATAACAAATGATCGAATTATCTAGGAATAACGTGTGTTGTGTATTCGTAACTGGATAATCGTATTACAGCCCTTGTCTGTCGTTACTTCGCCGTTATGTGTATTCACTAGTCCATTCGTATTAAAATTTCTGAACAGACGTGAATACGATGGCGACTCGCGCTTGTGGTTTTGTTGTATTTCGTCGCATTCAGGGAGTGATCGAGTATCTTCTAATGCAAGTTTCTTATGGTAAACATCACTGGACACCGCCAAAAGGTTTGTAACGTAACTAGGATAACCTTATAATTGGACTTTACATGGAGAAGCGCTTCAACTTTTCATTCTTACTTATGCACTGGCGTAAGATGCCTGATTTTATTCGAGACAAGCGATGTTCGTTTCTTTCGTTGATAATGATTCTTTTCGTCAACCGAACAAAGACTCGTTTCAGTACTTTTATTTAGTTTACTCGCAGGTCACGTTGATCCCGGTGAATCAGATATGGCGACTGCATTGCGTGAAACCGAAGAGGAAGCTGGTTTAGTAGCCGATGATTTCAAGATTTTTGAAGACGCGAAACAGGAATTAAAATACGATGTAAATGGGAAACCGAAAATTGTTATTTATTGGTTAGCAGAATTGTTGAATCCTAACAAACCTGTCCGATTATCCGACGAGCATCAAGCGTTTAAGTGGCTACCGCTGGAGGAAGCTTGTTCCGTAGCAGAGTACGAAGAAATGCAAAATGCATTGAAATATTTCAATAACTATATATGTACGAATCTTTCTTAATATAGTGTTTTTTAAATGTGTATACGTGTGTACAACCTTAATCATTAAAATTAATAGGTACGCCTGTAAATAATGTGTACTTATATGTATATCATTATTTAATTTATTAAACTTTATATCAATATCGAGATTAAAATATCTTTTCAAAGTGGTATAAAATGGGCTTGAAAATTTGTATCGTTAAATTTTTGCTAGAATCAAGAAAAACTTCTTATCACCGTAAAAACAAACATCGATAGCTCGACCAATCGAAATGTGACAATTATCGAAGTTGCTAACCTCAGTTAGTATTACACTGTGCTCTTTCCGTAAAGTCGAAACGTAACCTTGGTGTTTCGATTCAAACTTTTTGCGGATATTTAAAATCATGATTAATTCGTTGCAAAGACTATTTTCGTTCTTAAAGTATTGGTACTTTAGGTACATGCTGGTCACAGAATTGTATATGGTTGAAAAATGGGAAAGAAACTTTATCAGTATCCTTTTAAATCTTGTAAACAATTAAAATTCGATATCGCTATTGTGTAAGTAATTTATGCACTCTTTTTTCGATCAAACGTTTCACGAACAATATATTATCCTATATGAAATGTAGATATATTCCTTGTCGTACTATTTCTTTCTTTCTTTTTGTTCAATTGCAAAGTATTGTTGCCACTTGTGCAGTACACTTTGCTCTCAAAAGAAGTATAGTCTTCTGACTAATCAAAAGTATTATGAAGAAAACTAGCACAAATTTGTGCATAAGGCAATGTAAACAGTTCACATGGAATAACATTTCAATGTACAAAGTTCCATTAATTTATTTTAATTTTTATTAATATACTGGTATTTTTTGCTAAATTATATGCATCATGTTAAATGTTAAAATTAACAAACATTTTATTTTTATTTTTATTTCTGTTATAAGATGATTGAACAAATCTTATGATTAATACTTATATGTTAAATATAACAGTGTACATAAACTGTTAAATAAGAAACTAATTTTTTAAATATGAAAGAATACTGTCCTCCCTAAGGTATAAAATAATTACATACACATAAAACAAATTTCATTTTGTTTATTTAATAATGATGAACACGAACACTGATAGTTTCTAAATTGATCATGTTTCATAAGTAGGCACAAAGAGAACGATAAAAATTATATTTTCTAATTATTTTAATTCAACTAGTATACTCAAGATTAGAGTATCAGAATTTTTAACATTTTCAATCTCTTCTAAGCACAAACGTATAAACTAACTTACAATTTTGAACGAATATCGATCAAAATTAAATTACAAGTATCGAAAAATATCGTAAGAAAAATTTAACTACTGAAATATATAAAACTTAATAATACACCATGTATTTCAAGCTGTTATAAAGTATTTACATGTTATTATGTGTAACTCGCTGCACTTGTATGTTTGTGATGTAAATAGTAAGACAAAATGACAGAGTAAAAATATTAACTACCGTTTGAATGATATATACTTGAGTTCCTTTTGTTTTTATATAGAATATGTAAAGTTTACTTGCTAGTATTGCGATTTCTTATTGAATGAAATATGTAAAACAATTTCGATCTTCAACATTATAATACTGTGCATATGAAAGTAGTGGGGTCCAAATTGTTTACTCGTACAATCCTTTATATTAACCTTTACTTTTGAAAATATCGATACTTATCATAGAAATGTGAACATAATCGCAAAGTTGTAATAATTTTTTAAAAAGAAATAATATTTTATCTGAAACTGTAAAATGAAAGAAACAAAGGACGGATAGTATTAGAAAAAGAAAACATTATTTCTTCAATTTTTTAACACTTGCAAACATCTGATACATTTTTTCGTACAAGTATCGATACTCCGTGTAATGATGTTAATCCCTCTACTGTACATATGCCATACGTGACTGCAGTAAAGTAATAGATATGAATGCAAGATGAATAAAGTAATGTAAGTTCTATTGAATATGAATACCAAAGATTCATATTATAGGTAAATATGATATGGATCTTCCATCTGATTGTAAATCATTTTCGGTATCTAATCGCCTAACTCGTACTCTTTGCTTGTAATGATATTCCTTGAGATAGCTTTTAAGCGTCTTTGGCAACTGCAACTTATTTATACCATCGTACGTCGTTCGTGTCGCAATTACCGCACGACATAAATGTTGTAAAGGAAAAGCGAAGTTTCGATGCAATGGTATCGTAAGCATAGGTTCAAAAAACATACCACAAGATGGATCCTTATAGTGTTCTATTAAACCGCATATCTGCAAAAACATGTATCGAATATTCATCAGATTTTCATTTCTTTTTTCATGTTTAGCAAATACAAATATTCTGTTTCGTACCGTTTCCGAAGCGTAAACTCCTGGATCATGTACATCGAAACTAAATTTATGATTCCACTGTTCAATTCGAGCATGCAGAGATCGTCCATACTTTCGAAAGCTAACAGAGAACACAAATTCTTCTTGGGCTGAATCTCGCAACAAGAATGTACCTTCTTGTTTACCTTCTAATAAACGTTCTGCTTCGTATCTATCCATTTTCCCCCAATAGAAGGAACAAGCTGTAATTGATTTAAGATCTGGCACAAGGCAATGTACATAATCGACCTATAAACGCAGGAAAATATTGGATGACAATGACTAATCATGTTTTCAATTTCAAATAAATAACGTTTTATCTACCTGCGTATGTGCTGGCCTTTCAATATTAGGAATTAACGTAAAATCAATTTGTGATAAAGCTGTGAGAGCAGCAGCTTGTATACCAGCATGTGCCTGGAATAGAGCTGCTAAACTGTCTACCGTAATTCCATTTGGATGTACTTGAATTCCTGAAAGGTAATTAGGCTTATATCCAGGAGGAGGCTCAACACCTTCCTCTATTTCTCGAGCACGTTGTAATCGAGCTCTTTCGTCGCAATCCTGTAACAAAATTTATGCAATTATAATATTATACGTTTTATACAAAGTTATGCCTAAACAATAATAAATACATACTTCCATTGGAAATTCCTCTGGATTAAATCTTGAAAGATCGATTACGGGACTGGGAGGAAGTGGTCCAAGCACTGGACTTTGCGGTGCCGATCGGCTATTAAATATAACGCTAGCACCCATAGGGTGTTCATCTGTTCTTCTGTAGCCAGTACACACACAATCTGAGCTATTATTTCCCGGACCAGAAATAATATCCGTGCTTTTAGAATTCTTACTTTTAGCACAATTAAATTTCAATACCCAACTACTTCGTTTCTTTTTTGAAGATAAAACATGGGTACATACTGGACTTTGATCCTTGTTGCGTTGTTTACCTAATATCATTAAATGGTATGTTAGTTGAACTTGCAGTAACCAAAGCTATAAATATAGAAAGATACAAAAAAAAAAACATATTACCTTTCCGTTTTCCAAATGATAATGTTTTAGATGATCTCCTTAAAGGAGGATTTACAGGACTATCTTCCGAACTAGTACTAGTATTACTACCTCCAGAACTACTACAACATGCCTCATGTTGCTTGAAATGTATCTCGTTTGTAATGTTTCCATTACTACAAACTTGCTTAGAGTCTTGTGTCTCAACTGGTTGACTATACAAACTTTCAAATCTAGAATTATGATTATCTAGATCTAAATTTAAACGATCGTTGTCCAAATTTCCATCCACCTTATACTCATCTTGTAAAATTAAATTCGAATTTGATGCAGGTACATTTCCATTATTTTCACTGTCGTGTAAATTTTTCGTACCATCCTGATTCATCATTTCTAATTGTACGGAGTGGACAATGTTAGCACACACTTTAGAAAATTGCCTCTTGCTATCCATTCTAAAAAATTCCCTGAGACTAGCGAAATGCTGTCCCATTATTAAATGGATTGCCAGGCATCTTATTGCCTCAAAAGTATTTCATTTGTAATTCTCTTATAAAAGTATTACAAACAACTTTATGTTATACAATATCATCTTATTGTATCACACAAGTCTATTAACCAATGAATTTTTTATCATCTAAAACAAAATATATTCTTCTAAACTCTTAACAGATAAAACATTTGAATTTAAAGGAAAATCATTAATTACAACTGCAAAATGATTATTAAACATTTAACGAAAAACTTTAAAAAATAAATTACATCTGTTTAGTAAAATTTTATATACATGTTTGATAGAAACATATACATATATACATATATATATCCATACATATATTTACTAATAGTATAAAGGTCTCAGAATTTCTTCGAAAAAGTTATTAAAAAATTATTTCATATATTCGTAATGAATACTTCTTAATGGCAGCTATTTGAAACACGTCCAGACAAGTTTTAACAAGATTTCCTTGATTAGTTCAGAGTCCGAATTTTAGACACACGTATCGACAAATACTTTCTGTTTTCATTAAAATACGTACCTCATAGTATAATCGAAATCATACTATAAAATATTATTCTTTTTCAAAACTCTTTTTCAACGATAGTAATCAAACAAGTAAAATTGTCAAAACATGACCCAATGTATCGCCAGCCATTTTTCCTAACTGGTTCTCCCTCGTATTTCATTGGTAAAGCGCAAACTAGATAGTGTTTCATGCATCAAAATAAAAAGTTATGATTGATTTTCAAGTACTAGGATTACTGCTATTAAATCAACTTTATTTTTAGTTTATTTCTAATTAAACAAAAAATGAAATTGTTAAATAAAATGTTGTACATATGTATATACTAAGTAATAGTCGTATTCATTAAACTAACACAACTTTTATCTGACGCATCTGATGCGTTCGCGTAAACATTTTAGGCATTATTGTCAAAGTTTTGTTTACAAAGATTGTTATCATGATAAAACAAATAGTATTATCTTCGTGAAGGAGTAGAGAATTTTAATGATGGAAATTGCTCCGAAAAAAACAGTTTTAATAACTGGATTTGGTCCATTCAATAACCATATTGTCAACGCCAGCTGGGAAGCTGTAAAAGAATTAAATAAACTCTGTGCTATTTCAAAAGAATTAAAAAATGTTGAAGTAATTGTAAAAGAAATTTCAGTTTCGTACGAAGATGTAGCCAATTGTGTGCCTAAACTTTGGGAAAAATATAAACCTACAGTAAATTTATTTATTTTTCGTTTAATTAAAAAAATCATGCTATTTTTGACATAAACACTTTCGCTTTTTTCAGCTGGTTTTACATGTTGGTGTATCTAGTAAAGCAAAATGTATAACCATAGAATATTGTGCTCGTAGCTGTGGCTATTTAAGACCAGATATATATGATAAATGTCCGGATGAAAGTAATATCAAATCTAAAATTTTTGAGACTAAAATTAATGTGAACAACATATGCGATACAATTAATCAAAATCCAGATAAAACAGCCTGTAAGGCCTGTATTTCACAGGATGCTGGACAATATTTGTGTGAATATATATTTTACAAATCCTTACAAATTGATCCTACAAGAACATTATTTCTTCATGTTCCTGATTTTGATCAATATTCTAGCTTACAAACTGCAAAAGGTTTATATGATATTTTATGTCACATAATCAAAGATATGGAAAGCACAAGGGATTAAGTGTCTTTGTGCAAATGTTATAAGTTAAATAACTTTTTAAAATGATTTATCCATTGTATTTTTAATAAAAAAGGAAAGACAGTTCTATAAAATATAAAAATTATTTTTAATACAGAAATACTCATTGTTTTATGTCAATATATTAATATATATTACACATTGCATTATTGTCTTATTTAAGATCCTCCATGTTGAAACCTTGTACGAGCTGGTGGTATATTATATCTAAGTTCAAGAAATTCAGGTTTCCTTATCATAGAAGCTACATGACCCATTTGAATTGTACAATCAGGGTTCAAATTTGGTGGCAATAATGTACATTCGCGCTCTAAAATACACGCTAATCCTTCCAAAAGTTCTACAAATCCCATTGATGCAGCAGCTCGACGTAATCGATTTACCTCCTATATAAAAATATATCATTTAAAAAAAAGTTTATAGTGTTGCAAATTATGGTCTTACCTTATAGAAATTTTGTGTTTTTTCGGGTAATTTTCTTGCGTGTCTTAAAATTTTCTGAATGTCGGATTGTAATCCAACTTGTCGAATCCAAGAAGGTGCATTCTGAGTGTAACTTCTTTTCTCATTAGGTCTAACTGGAAAACTAACAGCAGCACCTTTAGCTGCATCAACTGGGCCTAAGTTACTAAAGTTTCCTAACCAAGGCACAACATCTAAACCTGGTTCTAACACTGTCAACATCAAGTTTGATTTCTTTTTTGTGTCTGCCCATGAGTATATAAAACCATACCATTCATTATTTAACAAACAGAGTGCTACCATATTTTCAACCTGTAGAAAATAATTTTTGAACCAGTTAACTGGAGAACTTAGTTTTAAAAATCAATCATACAATGTGTATAATTAAAAATAAAATTAAATAAAATATCACCTTCAAAGCTCCATGTAATAACACACAAAAAGAGGGTACTTTTCCTTCATCTCCATTTTCATCTGTGTCTGAATCTTCTTCTAAAGATATTCCTTGCATGCTTGAACTCTTCTCTGTAGCTAATGGTAGAACCAGATGTCTAGATATAGCACTAGGACTACCAACATCTGCTACTGATATAAATCCACAAATTTCTATTGTTTTTGATATCATTAAGCCAGATACCAATTCAAAATCTGTTTTTTTAGTATAGGGCTAAAATAATGTATCTTGTGATTAATATGAAATAATTAATATTTTGTCATATTACATTGTTTACCATAGGTGCTGGTGACAAAAGGACACGAGATCCTAAATTTCCACACTTCAGATATCCTTGAAAAGAAACATAATTAGTTTCTGCCAATTTTTGAAAACAATTTGTGACTGAATGTTTTGAAAGAGGTGTATCAGGTACAAGTACTACACTATCCCCACCAGCCAGTTCAACTAATCGTTGATAAAGGGGCAAACCAATATGTAAACCTGCATCTAACAAAGTATTGACATTTATAAACTTAATAAGAAAATTCCTCAATATTATACATGCTTATTTATCACATATCCATACCTTGTTGTGGTGCAATACATACAATACTTAATTTTCCTGGATAAGGGAACGGCAATGGAAATGGATTTACATCTCTTGTTAAATTTAAGGAGTTCAAAGAATCACCTAAAGACATTGGTCCAACTCCAGGATTACCATCAGTAATTAAAACCACTTGACATGCTGTAGTATTACCCCACTCTGCCATAATAACATTATTAACACCATGAAGAGCAGTTTCTATACAAGTTTTATCACATTCTTCAATGTTTTGTAATTTTGAACGTATGCTATCATAATCACGAGTAAACGGACAAATAACTTCATACAATGATGAAAAAACGACCTAAAATATGAAGAAACTATTATAATTACCAGAAGACAATAAAACAATATTTGTTAGCTCAAAGCATTTACCAAAGCCACAAATTCCAGTTTTGAATTAACTTGTAAATAATGTAATAATGCATTTATTCCATGAACAGCTAAATGATGTCTTGTTAATTGTTCATTCTGATTATTTTCGTTAGATCCATTGTTTAATATCGGACGTCTCATTGACAGAGACACATCCAACGCTATAACCGTTGGCATTTTTATTTAAGAAAAAATAAAAACTTTAATTCTGTTAACATGTGCACGGTTTTTTAACAAATTTTTTTCCTATTTCTTGATTGAAAATGAAAGAATAACAAGAATATAAAAATGTTAGGTTATAAACACTGTTTATATTACAAATACTTTCTTCCGAAATAAATTCGTGAACATTTTTCAATTCCTATATGTCAGTCAACTAATGTAGATATTTAAGAAATGTTACATAAAAATTTATTTAGATATAACTGATATTCAGTCACAGTGCAGAACATGTGTACATCCATACTTGTTACAAAGATTCTATATTGTAGTGGAATCATTTTGTTTGTATCCACGTACGCTTTCTAACATTGGAAATAATTCTTTGATTAGATAAATGGAAATATTGTAAAATTCATGATTTATATATAAAAAATTAAAAATTAAAATTTGTTAAATACATTATCTTGCAAAATAAATCTGTATATATAATCGAATATTTTGATAAGATAAATTGTTATTCATCCGATATTTGGTGATCTTATATTGTGACATTTGTTTCACACGAATAGAGTATCTATGTATGTACTTATATACATATTTATGTATATATGCAAAATGTTTTGTAAACGTAATTGTCCTTATTGTCAATTTTCAAATATGTGCGTCATCAGCTGATTGCGCACTTCACAATGATAACGATTGGAGGAATAAATCTTTGGCGCAATATTTAGGTTTATTCACCATATACACTTCTGTAATCGGTGCAACAACTATTCTTAGTTCTGAGGTTAATTATAAAATTGTGAATTTAAGTGCATAGTTTCAATGAAATTAAAAGTTTAGTCAAAAGTGCATTTGATGTGCATACAATGCGTTTATACTTCATTATTTATACGATCATTCTTTCGTATTGTATTTTATGTGTAACTTCAAAGCATTTTAGAAACAAACAGATATCTCCTGTCATATTTGGTAATTATTTCTTATTTTAAGTAACTTTATATAAAATTATTTTGAACGTTGAATGCTAATTAGTTATTATGCTAAAAGTTCCAGGAGATGGAGGTAGTCAGGTCGAAGCAAAACTTAATAAAACAAAGGCTGTACATTATTTGTGCGAAAAAGTTTCCAATGAATATTTTAACATCTGGTTGAACTTAGAATTACTTGTTCCAGTAGTTATAGATTGTTGGGTAAATATGTTTTTATGCTTTATGCATAAAATCATAATTCACAATAAATTAATAAAGCAGTACATCAATTGTTTCAGATTGATAATATGAAATTGATTTATAACAATGTTACAAGAACAACAAGAAACCAAGATGGTGTTGATATTCGTATACCAGGTTGGGGCGATCCATTTGTCGTTGAATATTTAGATCCAAGTAAAGCTTCTCCTGGTGCTTACTTTAAAGATATTGGTAATATGTTAGTTAATGACCTCAATTATGTTAGGAACTATTCAATACGAGGAGCACCATATGATTTTAGAAAAGGACCTAGTATGTATATATTGACATACTTCTTAATACATTGCATACTGGTATTATTTGTGGTTAATTTCGGTCTTACAACAAAAACTTCTTTTAGATGAAAATGAAGAATTTTTTATTAAATTGAAAGAACTAGTTGAAGAGACATATAATATGAATAAACAAACTCCAGTAACATTACTAGCACATAGTATGGGTGGACCAATGACACTTATTTTTCTGCAGCGCCAAAGTCAAGGGTGGAAAGACAAGTACATAAATTGTTTAATTACACTTTCAGCTGTTTGGGGTGGCAGTGTTAAAGCACTTAAAGTATTTGCTATTGGTAAATGTAGATATTATATGTGTGCCACATAAATTAAAACATATATTTCTAATTAGTTTGTTGTTACAGGAGATGATTTGGGTGCATATCTTTTGCGTCAAACTGTTCTTAAAGACGAACAAATATCTAGTCCCAGTTTAGGGTGGTTATTGCCATCAAAATTATTTTGGAAGGAAACTGAAATATTAGTACAAACAGAGCAAAAGAATTATACTTTATCTACGTTGCGAGATTATTTAATGTATGACATAGTGCATGCAATACATATTGTTTTGTAATCAGTAATTATATTTCATTAATTTTTTAAATTTTGCAGAGATATAAATGTACCAAATGGCTGGGAATTTAGGAAGGATAATGAAAAATATCAGTTAGATTTTAGGGCTCCAGGAGTTGAAGTTCATTGTTTATATGGAACTAAATTAAATACAGTACAAAAGTATATTAATTAAATTTTTATTAAATGGTTGAAAATTTTACATTTCATTTTTAATGTTAAACATATTCTTTTCAGGCTATACTACAAACCTGGTACATCAATAGAAGGTACTCCACAATTAATACCTGGCGATGGTGATGGTACCGTAAATTTAAGAAGTTTAGAAGGTTGCAAACATTGGCAGGGGCAGCAGAAACAAAAAATTTATTCTCAACCTTTTCCTGGTGTAGATCATATGAATATTCTTAGAAATATTAATGTTTTAAATTACATCAAAACAATTTTAGAAGTATAATATCATTATTTAGACGAGTATGAATTGTTTTGTTTTTAACACAATTATTTAATCGAAATTTGAGAAGGACAAATATAATTTTATAATCAGTATATTTCATTTTAATAAGTTGTAGCTAAAAATAATATTCTACTAATTGTGTGTACATATATACAGTCTTTTATATGAAGTAAGTTTGAATGATCACATTCTAATGATATTCTTATAGGTTTTTTTTATTAGTACAAAAGTATATACGTTTGTAATCACAAACAAACAAAATTAGTACTTATTTTATACTTGGAAGTTCGTCACTTTTTTAAAATTTTTATACATATTTTATTTGGTATAGCGATAAATAATCTTATAAACAATCATTTTTGTTCTCTACAATAGCATATACATATATGTATAATGTATTAAATTCTGTTAGCATATTTTTCTTACTTTAGTATCTCAGGTACAAATTTATTAAACATATCATTTAATTTCTGTTTGTAATATAATTAGATTTATTGAAAATTATTTCGATAAAAATGAATGAGAAATATATAAATGTGAATAGGAATAAATGAAACTAAAAAATTATATTTTTTTTATTAATGGTCTCTATTCCATTGTTGCGAGTTATTTTTTTTTTGCAAATTGGAATAAACATATCATTTAAGTGAGACATGGGCACGGATATTCTCTTTAAGTTTATTGATGTCGGATTTGTTGAATGCTATAATTTATTCTATTAGTACCATTTTGTAGGTCGCAAGAAAGAGGAAGCATTGAAGAGACGGACGTTCCAAAGGGGATGTTCATGATACGACGATGTGAAGTACGAAAAATAAACAACAGAATACGAAAGGCATAAAGCATAATAAAATAGGACTATGTGCTTTCAAAAAACTGAAAAGTGAAAAGTAGTTTCACTTCTAACATCTATTTACGCTGGTCGTCAAACTCGGGTGCATCAAACACCGCTCTCACTGAATTTATTATTTACTACCCATGTCTGACCTAAGCTTATGCAATAATTTATCATACTTTAATTTTTTTTTCGTATTTCAAAATATGCATACTGCGGAAATATCGTTTTTCATAAATGTATACATTTTTCACTCTTCCATAAATTTTTGTTTGCATTCCAAACACTGTAAACATATGTGCACAGAAGCTTGATGTTGGTCTTTAAAGAACACAGCATAAAGGCAGCACAGGAATGCTCAAAATACTCCTTGTTATACATTCAAAAACAGATTCATTCAGTCATTATTCAATAAAATTTTCAACAATATTTGATCACATGCTTACATTTTGCGACGTTACACCCTTTTATTTTACTCGTGTGTCCAACAATTTCGATTATTACGATAATAGCATATGAATAAAATAAACATCTGTTTGAAGGACACACGGATGAATCTATTTTTTAAATAAGTTCATTTAATGTCAGTTAAGACCAGATGAAGATCTTAAAAAAGCATACAATCCTAAGGCCAAAATCGTTACTACCGTGATCGTTTTATAACTTCTAATGCGATACGGTATTCTCGGAGTTGATCGTACAATTCGAAGTTGACGCTGCCTTTCTCTCTCTTGACGACTTGCTTCCGCCTTCGCTTTCCATTCTTGTTCTTTTCGTTTCCTTTTTCGATCGTATTCTATAACATCGTTACTTATAGATTCGGGAGGATATTGACGGTATAGAACTTTCGCTTCGACTAGAAGCGTTTCAAAAGGCAAATCATCTGGTAACTACAAACGAGTGTAATTCATAGAATCAAGTATAACTTTATTCTTAAAATAAAGAAAAAGCAATACTCACAGTACACAAAACTTTATGCGTATGACCCATATCAGGTGTAGTATTAAAAATTTCTGTTGCTCTATATGCTACAATCACAGTACTTAGGTAAAGTGGCATTAATGGAGGACTACCAAGAAAATAATCAAATAATCTATGTAACAATTTTCTATTTTCTGCATATTTGTGCGCATACCATGTTGTATATTCAGCCAATGCAAAATGCGGAAATAATTCTACGCTAAAATACATATAGGATAGAATATAAAATAGTTTTAATAACCATTATATGCATTTCTTTTGTAAACTTTTGAATAAGTATATACTTTATTATACTAACTTTTCCAAGTGTTCTAACAAAGTAGGATGCACTCTCTCTAAAAGCGCAAATATGTAAAATAATTCTTGATTTACTTTTTCCATTGTTTTCTCCATAAATCTTTCGAGGAACTCCAATGAAATACTTTCAAGTACATTTAAGCCTTTTTCTAAGCCCATGACAAGTAAAACAGTTGCTGCTATATCATTATATCCCTGGTAATAACTAAGCACATATTATTTTATTTTGTATTATTTATATATATGGAGCTACTACATCAAATATAACAGCAAGAATTTAAAAAGAAATACTTTGTACTAACTTTAACATAGAATGTTTATGAAGAACCCAACACATTATTTGTGTTAATTGTTCATGAAAATGATCTATTTCATCTTGTGTTGCATTTTCAGAAATGTGACTTCTACTACGTGCTACATCCTTTAATATTTGTTGATATACTTCATTTGGTATATGATCATGTATAGTTTCTAATTCATCCACAGAAAGTTTACTCTCTTCCGAAAGCCTTAATAGTTTTGGCCATAAAACCCTTCGTATATCATCTATAGATCGTCTTTATGTTTTCAAGATTTAATTATAAGATATAAAATTATTTTCAATAAGGAACCTACAATTTTATGTTTTATTATTTCAATATTCAGTTTTATTATTATTTCAAATAAACACACATAACATAATTTTTTTTTAAATTAGTATTTAAGAACACTTAATTACATTATATTGTCTACATAGAGGTTCCTTGTTGATAATAATCTATTATTATATTAATAAAATACCATGAACAAAACCCTCACTGCTGCAACCCAATAATTTGAGTTCTCCTAATGTCAAGTTCGGATTAGCAACACTTCCTCGAATAACGCTTATCTTCATCCGATCCCTATTTGTCAATGTCTCTGTATCACCAAAATCATGTTCTAATAAATTGCTATCGTCATCACGATTTAACACTCCGTTTTGTTTACCTGATAAATTACAGTCCGCGATATCAGGTATTTGTGGTATAATATTATCGTACCATGCCTTCGTAGAATCAGATATTCTTACAAGAGGAACGTTATGTTCGAAATTCGAAGTTTTGTCTTCTTCCGATAAAAGATTTACTGCCTCAGTCACATTTCTTCTCCTAACTTTCAGGTTATGCTCTTCCGTAGGAACTGACATTTCCATGGCCTTTCTTGAGATATTAGAATCCAGAGATATTTCGTCTTCTTCGGGTTCCATCTTATTTGATATAATGAATTCATACCAAAATTTTCTTGAAATGTTTCATAATACGAAAAATTTATAAAGAGCTTCTGAAACTTTTGACAAAATGACAAACTGTCACAAATGACACGCATCGATCACTGTTGCACACTCACAAGAACCTACTTATCAATCGGAATTGAACAAATGTTAATGTGACTGCCGACAGTCTAGCTAGCAGAGTCACTGACGTGGCCTAATATATATAATACATATATATTTCCCTCACTTTCGCGCTGTTTTGCACTAATTCTCAACACATTCGCAAAACTGGGAAATGATTAGTGGTCAAATCATTTTCCAAAATAGATATTTACTAATGCGATATTATTGATTTTTACTTCTAAAGAAAACATTCAACAAAATTTTGTTAAATCAACAAAAGATTCTTCAAAAATTTATCTTTGATTATAGGATAAAAATTGTATTATATCAGGGACTATGTATAAAACAGACTTATTATCTTGTAGGACTTTGTGTCCAACGAACTGAAATACCGATCGTGTAAAAACTCCAAGATTTTGTTGAATGTTCTACGTTCTAAACAGAATTAAGTATTTATCGATTGATAATTCTTCTGAACTTCGTTTTTTGTATGGGAAGTAGCGACATCTTTGTTACGTGAAGTCAGTCAATGGCTTCGAAGGTATCACTGGTGAAGCTGTGATGTAATTTGGATATTTGTAGTCTGGTCAATTTGACGAAAAGTAATATAATACTTGTCACGAATTCAGTCTTAAAAAGAATAATTTAAGTCAGCACAATGGCAAATGCCGTATACAACCTTCTTTTTAAACGATCATCTACATTCACTTTAGTTATTATAGCAAGCAGTTTTATGTTCGAACGAGCTGTTAATTTATTTACGGATAAAATGTTCGATAGTATAAATAAAGGGGTACGTATAAATTTACATAAGAATTTTATGAAAGATTCTGACCTAAAATTTTATGTAACTCAAAATGTTCAACTTTATGTAGGTAGTAATCAGTTATTGGTTAAACGTTAGAATAATCCACTTTTCACTCTTCTAAAATAACTGAAATTTGTTCTTTAACATGTGACTAGTTTTTACTAATTTTTGGAAATACAGACACAAGTATTTTTGGTACATGTAAACATTGTTAATAATTTTTGTTGCAGAAACAATGGAAAGATATTAAACACCAGTATGAAAAATAGGTAAAATAAATGTTAATTCCACTGCATTAGATGTACATGTACATATACAATGGTGTATTGGCTAGGAGCATCATATTTCTTTAATTATACAAATAAAAAATAATTCGTTACATACAATCTAGTTTAATTTTTGATTATTTAAGCACTATTTTAACGCATATTGTTTATTTTTCAAACAGATTAATTATTTCCTTAAGTACTACATTATAATATCAAGAAAAGAGAGTTTCAAGCTTATATTATAAAATGTTGTTTAAAGTACTTCTTATAACGGTTCGATGAAGCGGCCAAAAAATAGAGTCGTATTTGTTACAGAATCGATGATAAGAAATAGGAATGGTCTATCCAACTTAACTTCATTGCTCCACGATGAAAGCAGCTGATATCCAATTTCTATTATGATAAATTATCATTAAAAATATAGAAAGCGGTAGGTTCAAACTGTTTTTAAAGAGAAAAGTTTCATTCAATTTACCAGTATCAGCTGCAGCTAATGTTCCTTCTTCATCTACTTCTATTTTAACATTTTGTAGGATACTCGTTACACGTAGAGCACCATTGGACACCATGTTCGTTAAATTTGCGTCGGAACGAAATATGCTCTTGATTCCCAACTGAAATAATTGCATTGATAATTTCTAAAAATTAGTATTTACGTAGAGAGACTTACGTGTTGTAACGTGGTTATTAAATTAAGATTGTTTTCGATAGTGAATTTTGGAAGGTATATGGTAATATCTCTTTCCTTCAGGTTCGATAATATCGCAGAAATAGGAACCGTAGCTAAATCTTTGCATAAAATTTGAAGATTCGGGTCTTTCTCTCTTTTGCTTGGCATGATCGTTATCATGGACGTTTTCCGATCCTAAAAATTGCATTTAAGATTACATGGATACCGAAACCGCGTTCTACGTATTCAATGCGTTTATTGTACCGAGTATGGAATTTCTAAAACGTGCGCTTCGATGGAGGATATGTACGCGTATCGATACGTAGACTTATGTTGCATGAAATCCGTTTGTTTGCATTCCCCATTAGGAACGTAAAAACATCGCTGTTTTGTTTTCATTGGATCAAAGGCTTTCAGCCAACGTCCTTTAAAGTACGTAATCGAAGTGAGGAGAAGACGAGTATCGGGTTGAATATTGTTAACTAAGGGCGAAGCAACTGCGTTACGCGCTGCTTGACGGACCCAGTCGTTGATAAGACTCGCGGTATTTTGTAAATCCATAAAATTTACATTTTCTACATCTCCTTTATAATATGATCGCAAAATATCTTTATAAGTGTCTAGCACTTGTAAACTTTCATGTATCCATAATCGAGTGGTTACATCGATTTCCGTGCCATTCTCGTTTCTCTGAAAACGAAAAGCATCGTGTTCATATTTCTATTAAACATCATATATTTTATAGTTTCATAGTTTGAGAAGGAAAAATAGAGAAGAAAGCGAGAGAGTAACGTTTTTTAAATACATCCTTACATTTAAAGATGCAAGAGTTCGTTGCGTGATTTCTCTTATACGCAATTCATCGTCAGGCAATCTTAATTCCAAAAGAATCTCCTGTTTTGTGTCACCATTCGTTCCTTCCATCAACATCGTCAAGACCGTTTTAACGCTCGCTGGCGATGACACTAGATTTCCTTCATGTTCTTTGCTCAGCGTCTACGAAAACGTATCAATTGCTACTTTGTTCTTCAATTAATGGGGTATGAAATGCTCTTTCTATTCTTTTACCTGGGAAAAGTACGCATTGAAGAGATTATTCCGATCTTCGACATTAAAGCCCGTTTGTAAGATCGAGTCTAAAAACACTCCTACGTTTATACAGTGTGCAGGTATTTTTTCTTTTTAACATTGTATTATGATATTACGAAACAGTGACATCGAGTTAAATTTTTGAAGCTGAATTAGCATGAACAAGAAAGCTTGGAGACATTATAGAATAGACCGTCATTGCTACATTACAATGAAGTTTATTTGGTATTTATAGATCAATTGCAATTTATGTGAAACAGAAAATAGAAATTAGTGTCCAGAGAAGTCCAAGTTGAAGCCAAAGCCATTACAATTTAAGTTAGCAATGACCATGAATTTGTCATTGTTACTATTTGCTAGAAGAAATTAACCTGCGTCTGGTACTGGTGCGCCAAATTTGGATGGATCCAACTCATTGGACACAGCAGTACTGCCACTGGTATCCAACGGATTCATTAGTTTACCCATGTAAACGATAGTTCCGGTGGATTCGTCTTCAATGTAAAATAGGAAGGGGTGATCTGCATGGAACATTTCTTCCCCGATTTTATTTCCGAGTTCAATTTCTAAAATAATAAACGAAGTTGAAAGGAAAAGAAGTACGCCAAAGCGATAAAGGAAAAGTAGGTAGTTGCATGAAAAATTCACCAGTGGCAACGTAAGCCGTGGTTCCATTCTCGTTCACTTCTATCCCAGCCTTCTGCAGTACATTCGTAACCTTGAGATGTTTGGAACTTCGCTTGGTGCGAGCTATTCCAGTTAACGTAGCTGTATCAGCAAAGATATCCCGAATACCAAGCTGATATAATTATAATTGTTACTTGATATAATTGTAAGTAATGGTCATGGTAATAATAGAAGAAGCGAAAGAAAGAATACCTCGCGAAGAACGGTTCCCAATTGACTGGAGAACTGAAACTGAAATTTTGGGAGAGACACAATAACAGGCAACTCCTGCATCGACCATGCATGTCGTGACAGAATGAGGGGAGTAACATTGGCAGCGAGCTGGTCAATCCCGTTCCGAGCATGAGGTAGCAACAGATACATAGCAAATTTGTGTCCCTGAAATAGGCAGCAATGAAAGAAAGTACTTAATCGAGCACTAAAGGAGAAGATAGAATCATTCCGCGTACAGCATATGGTATTCGTAGAATCTTTGCATTCAACTCAGCAGATTCGGAGAAGTATAATCTGGTGGTTGTACGCATGAACGGAACATCTACCGATTCCTTGTCATTTATAAAAAATTGTCCAGCTTGTGTGTTTTCCGGAGGGAAGTAATTACGTCGCCACGATCCTTTGAAGAAGAGTGCGTTCACGATCATCATTATCAATTCCTTTACATTGTCCTCTACAATAAAAGTATAAGGCGTTACGAAACAGGGATTTAAAATAAAATTAGGTAAAGTTTCACCCGTACCGTTTTCTATTATCTTCTCGATGTTACCCTCCGTAACATTGCTGACCCACCCATTGATCTCTTGGGCAAGCGGCTGCGAATCTGTCATATTCGCAACGTATACTTCGGTGTCGTAAAACTGTTTTATAATAGCTTTGTATCGTTGTCTGACCAAGATATTTGAATTCATGTAAATTCGTGTGCCAATATTCAACTTGTAAGCCGGTGAAGCAGCCTATGAAACGATAGAAGAGGATATTCAATTTCAAGGTCATTGAAATCGACGAGGTCTGCAATCTGGTACCTTAAGGGAGCGTAAAATAGAGGAGAATTTGTCTCGAGTAGCTATTTGAGTAGCAGGTAGTTGCAATCCGGTGGCTAGTTCTTCGGCAGTTTGTTCTTGAGCTCCTTCATATAATAGTACAAGAGCAATCTTCAACGATATCGGTGATATAAGAATATTTCCAGTATATTTTTTGCTCATAGTCTAGAGAATAAACAGGAAGATAGTAGGTACAGTCTGAACGAAGTAGGTACTTATAAGTACCGATTGCGTAGACGCTCATACAGGCGCCTTTTACAATACAAATTTTGAGGTAGTTACTTTAAATAGATTCCAGTCGAAAACATTGAAACGTTCTCCTTGATAGGGTACAAAATCATCCTCATCTTTGTCATGATTAACAGGCCCCATGGGATCGGCTGTTGTGTTTCCGTTCGCGTCAGCGATCGCGAACATCGTGATGATGCACGCGACCAGCATCGCTACGCAGCCTGAAATGAATACATATGTACACAAATATTTAGTAAATTGATCATCGGCAGCCTTGTTTCGCTTTACGCGCGTAGATATTTGAACTTTCTTCGAATTCATATAGATACGACTGCTTCAAGTTTGTCGCGCGTAAATGATCGCATTTGTCGATTGTTCAACATCGACGCGTAGACAGAAAAGAAATTTCTCACCCATCATTTTGAGATGTCTCATAATCGCGTAGTCCTTTATGTTTATGAGATCACAATGTTAAAACTGCGACACCGATTGCGATTACAACTTTAGCGTAAGCGATTGATAGCGCCCGATTTGGTGGAATAAACGATTCGCCGTAATTTAAGCGAATGAAGGAATGTCGCGATTCGTTCGGACGCTGATTTCATGCGGTATCGCAATTAGATGTTCGTCGAACACAGAACCGGTCGAGTAGAGTCAGCTCGGGTCAGGTTGGTCGGTTAGCAAGTTCACCCATCCTTTGACCGTCGTATAGTAGAAATGGAAATGGAAGAGAAGCAAGTCATATTGGACAGAGAGGGGATACAGATTATGAGCTTACAAACACAAGAACAGAAAAAGTTATTATCGAGATGAAGAGTAAATCGATTAACCACGATTCATTGATCGAAGCGAATCGATTCCGGGAAAGAGGGATCACGGGAAAACCCCAAACGCGTGATTTTATTATTTTCGGAATTGATTTATTCGATGATTTAGCCGATACTCGTAGTAATGCTACTAAAATAATTACAAATTGACAAGTACAAAAGTATGCGAAAGACATTCGGCAGAAAAAACAAATTTGAATTATCTGGTATTCGGCAAGTCGTCCAATTTTTCGATCTCTTTTTGTTTCGTATCTTCGCATCTCTCGCGCTGCATCGTTGCATAATTGTCGAGGGCCTTTGTGATTAGAATGGTAGCCGCGTTCACGGTCTCGTCCGTTAGATAGCTCCGAGATAAATCCGTTATCTGCTCCTTCACCTATAAAACCAAATACTTGTCAGTTAGAATATATAACGACATATCTTTTATAGAATCATTACTGGATAACGACAAAGAATGTTACCTTATGATTATTGATCCAACCAAAGCCAACGAAATCGATTGTGCAAACGGGTGTAAAGGTACAAATCATAGTGGTGAAGGCTCCGCCTAAGATAATCGCGAACAGAAAATGCAACAAATAAATTCCAGCTCGAATTCCGTAAAGAAGAATTTCGTCAGAGGACGGAAATAAACTGGTCCCAAATTCGGTAATCCAAGAATCTGTGTTTTGTTGTGGTAAAACGGAGGGTACAAGGTAACCTTCGTATCCCGTCTGAATAGCGTATCCGCCATTCCCATATTCTGGATACGGTGGGTAAATGTATCGATTGATCGTCGGTTGATTCGACTGCACGACCGGATAAATTTGTGGTTCACTATTGATTCCAATCGGTGTAAGTACTTGTTGATTCGTTACTTCACTTTGCTCGCTTTGTTTCATGTTAATCTCATTTCTGATCGGTATGACCGCAGCCCCGCACCAACAAATCGTCAAACAAATCGTTAAACTGCGATACATTTTTCTGACCGACGAAAATCACGTCTTTCGAACGACTGTGAACAAGCTACCCTTGTACCTCTGGCTTTATATGCCGAAAGAAGGTTCGTGGAGGAGGCACCACCACCTACGAGCAAAAGGTAGTCGTTTCCTTCTTAATCCATCGATACTATCGATGCACCCCTGGTCAGTTCAAATTCCACTTTCTAATTCCTTCGTATACCTGAAGCCGTAACACCGACAAAATTCATTATGCTTATTGTTCGTGTTCTCCTCGGAAATACACTTTGAGTCAGGTAAGAAAACCATAAGTTTATGATCTCAAAAATTGTAAGGTTTTCTAAGGATTCCAGTAACACGATTTTAAGAATAGTTAAAATATATTTCCATGAAAGAGACGTTGAAGTGAACGAAGTATGATATATTTAAATTGGCACTATCGGTTTAACTTTACGATCGATCCCGCGATCGTGCAAGCAATAACGATTCCTCCATTATCTGTTTACGTAAATTTTCAATTTCATCTTCGCCGCTGCTGCTATCGTTATTACTACTATAATTTTTGGTTTCACTTTTTCTTTTCTTTGTGTTACGATTCAATGCTTGATCTTTCGCCCGCATTCGCTTTCGTTTCCGTTTCCGATTCTCGAGCTCTTGTTCCGCTCGTTCTAATTCGCACAGCTCTTCGACCAACGTAGCATCTTGATGCTCGTTTTCGTCGTCCGACACGCAGAACGTATCCTGAAATTGAACAAAATTGAAAACACATCATTAAAATGAACAACTCCCTTTTGGTTTCTAAGGGTGATTGGTACATAGCGCTACTTACGTTTAAGTAAGTATCGTCTGCTTGAGTTACAGGTTCCAAATACGTTTCTACGCTGGTATCGACGGCGCGTGGCTCCTTAAATACGAAACCTTCGTGTCGCTTTACTGGGCTTTTGACACTTTTCAAATAATGTATATGCATGTCAGTCGTTTCATGCACGTTTTGTGTGTAGCTTACGAAACCATCAAGATCTATGTCTGCTTCATCTGAACTTTCATCCGAGACGTATTCTTTCGAAGATACTTCCGCTTCATCGTCTATAAATTCGTTAATTCTTTTTCGTTTGCGACTAACGCCATTATGATTTTCAAAGTGTTTCGTTTCAATTGTCGTATCACGATCGCAATTATTGATTGAATCGTTAAAGAAGAAACTGCTTTCCTCTTCATCGTCCTTTTCGGCTGAAAAACTCTCATTGTTTGAATTACATGTATTATTGAAAGATTTGTTTGCACTTTCGAGTCTCGAACTCCAACTTCTTCTCAAATTCGATAATTTTCTTGCTATGCTCGTACCGGCAGTATTCCTGTTTAAGACACTGGGAGATTTGTTAATCAAAGTCCGACTTTGATCATTCTGCGTTTCGACGTTTCGCTCAATTTTGATCGATTTATTGATCCTTTCTCTAGACGAATCGAATATTGTTGTATTGCATATAGGATCAGTAGAAATTTTAAAATCATCATCCCATTCGTACTCCTCCAATTTGAATTCTATGTCGGTTTCATTTTCTTTTTTCACTACATTGTTCGATTTATCGAGAACAGTTTTATCATTGGATTCGTAACCCTTAAATAAATTATTTGTTTCCTTAATAGATTCTGCACAGTTATCGATTTGCGTCGAAAAACTTTCCTCCTGAAACATATCGTCTTCCGATTCATCGACCATGTTTGAAAGTGTTGAATTTGAATTCAGCCTTCCTATCTCGCTAATCGCTTGCGTTATGGTAAGAATACTTTCTTTTTTGGGTTCGATCGACGTACGATCCTTCTCTATTATTTGCTTATAATCTTTTTTGTTGCTATTTTGGACGACTTTAGTAGAAACGTCATTTGATTCGATTCTTTTCCGTAAATCTTCACTGTTGGAATTATTAGTGTCGCGTAATTGCATGTCATTAGCAAACTTCTCAGTTTGTTCATTTTCATCGTGAATAGTACTTTCGGAATCATCGGATGTTTCGTTCAATATATCTTCGAATATACCAGGCTCTAAATCTTGCAATATACCTGTCTCATTTTCTGCTATTGTTTTTGATATATTGCTATTTGACTGCTGTTCGAAACCGACTGTAAGATTAGAATGACTGTTTTTGCAATTTTCTTTGACATAATTAAATAAGTTGCTGTCAGTTGACTCACTGCTATCATCGAGTAAATCTTCAAATTTCGACTCTTCGATGACAGGTTTGTTCTCGACCTGTTTCATCGCATTAACGAGTACCAATTCATCGTTGTGTGAACTGCTTCTCCTACGTTTACTATTATTTTCATTCTTGTATAAATCATTTTTATTTGGCGGGGTGACGGCCTTTAGCGTAATTAAGCAATCAAGAATTTTAATATCAGGTATTGAAAAATTAAAAAAGTTTTTAATCCGGGAAAATTCAGGTACGTAAAGTTTATTAATGCCAGACTTTTCCTTTGTATCTGTTTCATTCTCAGAATTTCTCAAAGCGCATATTGTAAGGAAGTCAACCGCAGCGTTATCACAAGACAAAAGTTTTACGTCGGATGGTTTTACTGCTTTTTTAGTGTGACTAGTATCAAGAACGCATGTACTAATGTTGTTCTTTACCTGTTCTTTAGGTTGTTTAGTTTTAAAGAATTTTGTCATAGAAAATTTATTTTCGTTATCTTGTGATAATGCATCAGGATCTAAAACATACACATAATTTACTTTTTCTAACAATACCATGTAAAATATTTCATCATCATATAAAAATTTTATCGTTTCATTACCTATGGCTGTAATTTTTTTTAGGGTATTTCGACCTTTATTGGTCTTTCTCGATTTTTTGTCGTTGCCTTTCGTTACTGAAACTTTTGGTTGCGTGCTAATATACATTTTCATACAGTCCGGATTATAAGTGTCAGGAACCATTCGTGGATTATTTTGATAAAGTGAAGAAAAAATGTTACCCGTGTTTAATATTTTGTTGTTTAAAGAAGCTCTTCTAGCCATTGTAGATTTTAATGTCTATGATATTAAAAAATATTATCAATTTGTTAAACATAAAATTTTACGCAAGTTTCAAAAATACTTTTGTTTATTAAAATTTGTAATTACCTCGTGTTCTTTTCCATCGGTAACGAGGATAATTATATGACCATCGCGTTTTCGACCAGTTCTTCCCATTCTTTGTACGAGTCGTGTCGGAGAATGTTGGGATACATCAAAACATATAATTAAATCGACTTCTCCAACATCTAATCCTTCCTCACCTGTATCAAATATAATCTGATGTTATTTTTATTGGTTTTTAAAAGTTTTTTATTGTAACGTGTTAACACAAAGGTTATACCTATACTAGTAGACACAAGAACATTAACCCGATTGTTTCTAAAATCTTCTAGCGCTTTTAACTGCTGCTTTTGTTTCTGTCCTGCCTGACCAACAAACATTTGTGGCCTTATTAATGGCTGACATTGCAATAATAGAACGTAAATTTCGCTCACGATATCCCTGTACTGTATAAAGGAAAAATATGTTACATATTACATTTATGCTAAGTAAATTCAGTAAGTACAAACCTCTACAAAAACTATGGCTCTTGTATCATCCTGTTTTTCTTGCCTATTTTCAAAATGATGTAAAAGCAGTTCTTTCAATTTTTCGAACTTTGTATGTCCATATACAAGGTCTTGTGAAATCTAGAATTTTTAAGATACATGTAAGAATGCATCTAATTTTATGTGTTTTATACATAAATGAATGTATACTAACAGTTATTGCATCATCCTCATGAAAAGTTTTTATTTCTGGAAATGGGCCAAGGTATTGTTCAACATCTATGAGTAACTCCTGCAATTGAATCTCGTCTTTCAACCAAAATTTATCGGAATGAGCTGTTGATTAACAATGTATAAAAATTACTTAAAATAAAAAAAAAATTTATTTGTAATTAAATTGCATACTTTGATAAAATTTATAAAATGCTCGAAGACCATCTCTAATCATAAGTTCATAAGCATGGTACATTGTTATTAATATATTTAATGTTTTTATAATTTGTCCATAATTTCCAGACTTGTTAGTTTTCTGTTGAAATTCCTTTAATAAATGAAATATCTGAATAACAACAAAAAAAAAGAAAAAATTATCTTTCATTTTTTTAAGTTAAAAACATAAACAATGAATAATATGATACATTTTAATTTACCTTTCCTTTAGAAATATTTGCTGTATCTCCTTTAAGAACATTACAATGCAGCAAAATTTTTACATGACGATCCATAATAAAAATATATCTCTCTTTATATTTAGTTATTTCACTGTTAAGTGGTACTAAAATTATATCGAGTTTTCTTTGATTGATATACGGTAAAACATCCGAAGATGCTTCGTCTCGTAATTCGACATGAGCGATAAGTAAATTTTGCAACACCTATAGAAAATATTATATATTTATTCCTGCAAATTGTATTATAATTATAAAAGAGATCAGTAATGTTTTCAAATACTCAGTCAGTATTAACAAAGTATACCTCATGAACATTATTTATCTTGTTGCCGGGTGTTGCTGAAAGGGCTAATACCCGAAAGTTTTTATTCGTTTCACTTAATGTTCGAATGCACTGAGAATAGAAAATATACAATTACTCAATGTGTTGATTTGAGTAAAATTAAAACTGTTCTTCCCTTTTTAGATGTAGAGGAGAGGGTATGATACAATCGAAGTAGATTTTCGCGGCGCGGAAACAAAAAACGTCTATTAAACAAAAGACCGACAATAGCTGTTACGAACGGCACGGTTTCAATGGTACGTTATTGTTTAGTAAGTTCGGATCGGATCAAAGCTTTGATATCTCATATTTCTGTCATACTTCACGATCGTACCCGCTCCTATGGTACATGTTTATAATATTTTTATATTACTACCTCGCAATATGCATGTTTCCCTAAAGCTTTATGAGCTTCATCTATGACAACACATTTTATTGAATCGGCTGGTACAATTTTTTTGTACAAATCATTGTAAAAAACTTGAGGAGTAGCAAATACTACTCTTTTCTTTAACCAAGCTACTTCTCTCTGTTTTTGGTTGATGGCTCCTACAACATAATACGTTATTCCTTTTACTATATATATGCAATACAACATGTAATATGCATGCTTTCAGCAAAATATGTTTCCATATGTTTCTATTTATGATAAGGGAATATAGGATTATCAATAGGTGCTAGTAATGAAAATTAATATACCTGTTAGTTCAATAGTCTCTATGCTCGGTATACCCATTACATTATAACAAGCAAAAATTTGTTGGGCAACTAAAGGTTTAGTAGGTGCTAAAAACACAACTTTTCCTTTTGGGTACCATCTCCAAAAATTATACATCACAACTGCACCAATAAATGTTTTTCCCAATCCTATGACAAATCGGAGTAAAAATATCATAAGCCTTAATAAATCCTTTCTCTTTATATTTGTTGTACCAGAAGATATAGTTATCCTTACCAGTAGGTAAACAAACTAAAGTATTTTTGTATAAACAGGCTTGAACAATATTGTACTGATAATCTCTAATAGGATAATTTTCTGGATAAATCCATGTTTTGCCAGCTGATAGATCAAAACCTTTCGTTTCTGGATCAGATGAAATTTGAGAATCTTTTGTTGGCTCCATTTGAAAGACTCATGTATCAAATACTCAAATAACATCTGTATTTATAAATAAATAATCTTTTATCTCATTTTCCAATTTTATGTTCACACAGGTAAATGTTTGTTTTATCACTCATTTTTTATATTTACATAACTAATTTCAATCGACAACTTGATAAATTTAACAACGATATACTCAAAATTTTCATAAAAAAAACATATGTACGTGTATAAAGAATCAAATATATAAATAATAAATTTTATTCAAACTTGAACACGATCTCCCGTTTTTAAAAAGCTACTCCTTTTCGCTAGGGGAATTAGCCATTTTCTTACTAAATGACGAAACAGGGTTTTTCTGACCCGTACATAAAGCGGGAAGTTTCAAATCCATTGTAAAAAATATCGTTTACTTGTACTATCAGTTACATATATTAACATCTGTAATTATAAAACACTTCACTAATTACGTTAAACGTTTCATTTTCTTGAATGAAAACTCCGATAATATTATAGAAGAGAGCACGTATCGATTTGCATATAAAAAAAAGAAAGTAGCATTGCTCACGTACAAAGGTGTGAAAAAGAATCGTCGTAAACTAATTAGAAATTAATTTATTATACGTAAAGATACACAGAAAAGAATATGATCGTTTAGATCAGTGAGCATATAAAACAGATGTACATATACGTAATTATCTTTACGCAGCTATATAGACATACAGTGCTTGATAAAAAGAAACTAAAAGCCGGAATATAATGGACTAGATCCCCCTGATTAGGTCGTATGATTTGTTGATAAGTGACTATTTAATGCAGCTTTGTGGGCAAACTTTTTTAAACAAATTAGACATTCGTGAGTTTTCTCGTTTGTATGTACTGATAAATGTTTTTTTAATGTTGCTTTGTCCTTAAATATTTTTTGACACGCACTGCATTCGTACGGTCGTTCTGCTGCGTGTACTAATATGTGGCTATTTAACGTTGTTTTTTGTGTAAATGCTTTATGACACACGTAACATTCGTATGGTCTGTCACCAGTGTGACTTAACATATGCTTTCGCAATGAAGACTTTTCCTTAAACGTTTTCTGGCAAATGTGACAAGCGTGTCGTTTGTCACCAGTATGTATAAGCATATGAGAATTTAATCTAGTTTTCTCTCTGAAAGCCATGTCACACAAGCCACAAGCAAATGGTTTTTCGCCTGTATGTATCAAAGTATGCCGATTCAAATCAGATTTGCGAGTAAATATTTTGTCGCAAACTTTACAATCATACTGACCACCGGTATGCAATAGCATATGACTGTTAAGGTCAGATTTGCGAGCGCACGCTTTATGACATATATGACACTCGTGTGGTTTTTCACCTGTATGAACAAGCATGTGAGAATTTAATTTCGCCTTTTCCCGAAAAGTCATCAGACATTCTTTGCATTCGTATGGTCTTTCGCCAGTATGAACCATCGTGTGTCGTATTAACTCTGACTTTCGTCTATATGTTTTCTCGCAAATGTTGCATGCATGTGGTTTCTCACCACTGTGCGCTAACATGTGATTATTTAGTGCTGTTTTCTGTGTAAACGATCTGTAACACATGGTACATTTGAACTGCTTTTCTCCTTCGTGCAACGTCATGTGCATATTTAATTTTGCCTTTTCCCTAAATGCTGCAACGCATATATCGCATTTGTATGGTCTTTCTTCCGTATGGGTAAGCACATGTCGATTCAGACTAGATTTTTCCTTAAATGTTGCATGACAAACATCGCATTCGAATAATCTTTCTCCCGCGTTTATCGATTGGTCGTTCTCGGAATCTTGCCTTTTCATAAACGCTTGATGTACCGGATCATTATCGTACGGTTTTTCCAATACGTGCATTTGCATGTGACTGCGTAAACACCATTTATACGCAAACCGCTTTTGACAGATATTACATTCTAGTGGGCTCATCCCAACATGAGTCAACATATGTATATGTAAACTGGAATTATCTTGAAAATTTTGTTGGCAAACTTCGCATTGGTTTCCACTGCAGTGCAACCTTAAATGAGTAACCATCGAATCATTGTTCAAAAACCATTTTTTACAAATGGAACATTGTATTTTATAAAACTTGGGTTGCTGTCCATTTGTACAAAACCCAGAATGTTTTTCAACATCTTGTACTTGTATAAAATTTGTGCTTGCCAAGCACCTTTGCATAGCACCATCTTCTTTATCACACAAATTGGTACCAGCAATTTGTGCTGTCCAATTCTGATGACTACTAGATTCTCCATCCAATTCAAGTTTTACCTGGAAACAACACATATCATCGGTTCAGTAATTCCAAGCACATCCAAAACTTGATCATGAATGATGTTTTGATGAAATTTACCATTTCATTGGAGAAGTCAACTTCGTTATTTTCGATAGGTAAAAATACCTTCTCGAATGTCCCAGAGCAGATGTCCTCCATGTAGTCGGGATCAAATCTATCACCGGGTTCTTCTTTAAGTACAACGCTTACAATGTTTTCGTCCTTAAAGTAAGGTTTAAGTTAGAGTCCTTGCAGAAGCATTGTATCGTACGGTGCTGCTGTTTCATAGAAAACGTTTACCATAACCTGACTGTCTATGTTTAACATATCCATTGGTTCATCTTTTATTTTAAAATCTTCCATTTGCTGTAATTTACTCTGAAATTAAAAGTAATTCATATATATTTTGTATTCTATGAAAGGATAAACCGAATATAATGTAAAAGATATAAATTATATTATATGAAATTAAATGCAGGTAACATTACATTCGCGTAACCTTAAATACATAATGAATATCTTAAATGGGTAAACATTTCGTTTGTGAAGTTATTTAGTTTATAAACTGTTATATATAATAATGTATTTATTTCCCAATTCTCATAAATAAAGTAATTGGAGAAGGAGATAATTCTTCTACAGGTATACTTACAGCGAAGATTATGCATTTCACCTACAAAGCAAAACACGCAAAGCAATATTTATCAGTTTTACTTCGTGTTTTATGTTTTAAAGTGCGTAATTTTCATTACGCTACCATCAGATACATATTTTAGTTTTTCCTGAAGAAACTAACGCTTTTTAATCGATCGATTTAATTATCTATCACGAAACTATACTATGCGTTCCACTACACATGACAAGCATACGTTACATAAATATCATGCATTTACTACGCGATAATATCTATATACGAAGTATGTGTACACATAAATTCGATGTAAGCGTATCACTATGCATATGTGATACTTCTTACACGGAATTTCAAGTTGAATGATCGCGTTCGATAAGGATATTTTCATAGATCTTCTTTTAACACTAATTATATACTTTTGAATATGTTTCCTGCAGCCAGGAAAAACAAGATTATTTCCAAAGTTTTGATAAACAATATGATTGTTTCGCATTTCCTTTCAACAGTATATTTAAATAAAAATTATCCACGGTTATAATTACGATTTTATTATATTTTTTCTAATACATTTATCAGAATTTCGAGACTGAAAGGGAATTCTTTGCGCTTATCTTAAAAATATATATTCTATATACATTTATATCCACGTGTAGTTTACATGCGCGCGTGCGTACATATCATATATAATAAAAGACATTTTTTAATCATTTTCATTACTTCTGCATTAAAAACTAATGTATTGTTCAGTTTTGTACTAACAGCAGACTTATCTGACGAAACATATAGTAGAATAACTGTTTTTTAATTAATTATATGATTTACTAAAATTTACGCCGCAATGTTGCTGAAAGATGTTTAGAAAAATGGACTCGTTTTAACGAGAAATACAAGAGTAGATGCCGAAATAAAATAATAGTATAGAGATCAACAGCGAAAATATACCTTCGTTTTCATCGATCACTCTATAACAAGATTGTTTTCAGAATTGGAACAATCCTTAATTGTATATACTTAAGACGATTAAAACACACGAAGGAAATGGGACCCGTTAAATAAACATGCACAGTAGTGACTAATGTTAGGACTTGATTGAACATTTTTATTCGTAAATATGTTTTGATTAAATTGGCTCCGACGTTTCAAAGTATCGCTCTAACTATAAATAATATGTATGAACATAGTAACTCGAACGATAATTATCTCGAAATATGGAAACTACGCGCGTAGTATATTGACAATAATAAAGAACATTCTTCTGATTATAAATTTTAATGAAACGTGCTTCGATGATAGCAATTTTCCTTATTCTCATGATTAGATGTTCAGAGTATCAGAACTTACCTTTAAATTATTTATTTGGAAATAAATAAGTAAAAATGGTACTACGAACATAAATATGACGTATATATATGAAAAATACGAATACGCACACAATTGTTCTTTTTTCCATTTTTATCCTATTGTACCGATAGATGGTAACATTAGACACAATAATAACACCGCGAAGATTTTGAGCAATAAAAAGATGTCGAAGAAATGAAAGTAATTCCGAATATCAATATAGTTAAGAACTTTATCTTTTATTAAAATTTTAAAGATAAAGGAAAACAACTTATTTCGTATTTTATAATTTAATAGTAGATTAATTGTGTCAATATTTTTTAATTCTCTATGTTGTCAATTGTTCGTTCTTATATATCTATAACAGATTTTAAATCGAATGTGATTATAAATGAAATGCAAAAATACATTTTTAGGCAAACAAGAATGATAACAGACATATGGCATGTAACATTTTAAGATTACAATTAAATCAGAAATTAGAAATTTCTCTTAAAATACGACGCACACTTCCGTTCGATTTATATTCAATTTTGCATGAAGGACGTTTCATTCGTAGTTCAAAAGATTCTTATCCAGGAGAAACAGCATATTTGTATAACGCGTGTAAATTATGCTGATCGTAAATCAGTGTACATTTTCTTTTCGAATCGCGATCGGCAATCGCTTTCTCTCGACACAGTTTCCTGTGCGTTACGTTCTTCGTGGTAATCTCGGTGCAGGTGCTACCTCACGCACATTTAAGTAAATTGTCACGAGCCAAATGCCAGGTAAGATTCGTAAGCTCTCCGCGCGGAGCGCCGGTGTGTGAACGACCTGTCGAAACTCTAAATGCCGTATTTACCTATTTTAATAACTCGACAATTTTATGTTCCGACGTTATTTCAGTTTTGGTATTTTTTGAAACGTTTCAACGTTAACGAAAAACAACAAGCACTGGAAGATTTAACCAACTGTTTAAAGAGATCACTTTTAAGGCGGTCGCATTACGTATTGGTAGGCGTTGCTGTCATTTGGCTTCTCTTTCGTCTGTATTATTTTCCTTGAATTTTGGGCAAAAACACATATTCTAAATTTGTTTTATATTGAAATTGGTTATTGTTAATAAGCTTTGAGATCTTGTATTCGTTAATGTATCAAAATTAATTTTTGGAAAATAAACTTTTTAGAAAAAAAGAAATGACAGATTCGAATGTATTTTTTCTTATAATCGTCCTTCTCATTTGAAACAAGTAACTACATATTTTTTATGATTATACATATGTCTAAGTGTATGTGCATGTTGGAATTAACATCATATTTGATACTAATTCTTGAAGTAACTTAATTTTATTTGTTACAGAAAAGGCAATGTTTACTAAGAAGAAAAAGAAACCACAAATATCAACCCCAACAAATTTTGAACATCGTGTACATACAGGATTTGACAAACGAGAAGGAAAATTCATTGGCTTACCGCTACAATGGGCTTCTATAGTGGGAAACAATCAAATTTTGAAGTCTACAAACAGACCATTACCTCTTGTAGATCCAAGCGAAATTACACCTACAGAGATTCTAGACTTGAAAACTATTGTTCGAGGTCATAATGATCCTAAAGGAAGGACCCCTATCGGAGATAAAAATACTGAAAATGGATTACCTAAAACCAGTACCGTAGCAAGATCTAATTCTCTTAGATCTTCAAGTCCACCCCGACTCAGGAGAGATTACAGGTTATTTATTTTCACTTGTGAAATTAGTACAAAGTTAAATATGTTTAGTGCTTTATTGTATTTTTATTTACATTTTTATAGACACAACAGTAATTTGCCACCATCCGTACCAGAAGGCCAAGAAATTCCGTCCAATGCTAATCAAATACAAGGATATTCTAATTTTGGAAAACAACATAACTACCTTGATAAGTTGAGACAAAACTCCTCCAATGTTGTAGGTGGATTAAATCCTCATACACAAAATATGATTCCCAATCTTCAAAATCTTAATCCAAATATGCAATCCTCTCCAAATTTAACACATTCTGGATCAAATGCTCCCAATTTATCTTTAAATTTTCAAAATTTGAGTCCTATCACAACTTTACAGTGTCCTACGCAAAGTCCAAGTACTCCTCAGCTCACAGATTCTGAATTTCATAGATCAAATACACAAGTGACTACAGTTTCTGGCCAATACAATGGAAATATTCAGGTAATTAATGTTTATTCATTCCATTTTTAATGATAAACATTGTTTCTTCTTTTTGTGCAGGTTTCAAATATTGAGCCATCTTCGAGGGACCAACAGATAACTCAAAATGCCCTTTTGCATAAGTTGCAACCGAAAATATCGCCTGTAGGATCTATTGCTTCGCAACGTCCATTGAGTCAACTAAGTTCACACAATGTCAACAAGTATTCGCAAGTGTATGGTACACCAGAAAATTCAACCATTTTGCAATCTCATATGAAAAAACCTATTGAAACATCTCAATCGATGCATAATTTATCAAAGCCTAATATACCATCGTCCGGAAGTAGTTCGACTCCGGATCAAAATCAAAATATGAAAAGTGCTTTATCCTCAGGAAATTTAGCAGTTAGTTCAAGTTCGAATACATCAAACAAACAAACTGCGGAACAAAGGCTTACTCATGAACAATTTCGAGCGGCTTTGCAGATGGTGGTAAGTAGAGAAAAAAGAAGATTCTCAATGAATATAAAAAGAATATGGTGCATATTTAAAAGCTGTTGTTTCGACATTTAAATCGTAGGTAAGTAGAGGCGATCCAAGAGAAAATTTGGAAAACTTTCTTAAAATCGGCGAAGGTAGTACTGGAACAGTATGTATAGCAACTGAAAGAAATACCAATCGGCAAGTAGCGGTAAAAAAAATGGATTTAAGAAAACAGCAGAGACGAGAACTGCTTTTCAACGAAGTAGTTATTATGAGAGATTATCATCATCCGAATATCGTTGAAATGTACGACAGTTTTTTGGTAGACGATGAACTGTGGGTCGTGATGGAATATCTCGAAGGTGGAGCGCTCACGGACATCGTAACGCATTCTCGTATGGATGAAAGTCAGATAGCTACGGTGTGTTCTCAGTGTTTAAAGCCACTTGCATATTTACATTCTCAAGGAGTTATTCATAGGGATATTAAATCTGACTCTATATTACTCACGGCTGATGGGAGGGTAAAGTTATCCGATTTTGGTTTTTGCGCTCAAGTTTCGCAAGAATTACCGAGGCGAAAATCTCTAGTTGGCACACCATATTGGATGAGCCCTGAAGTTATTTCTAGGTAATACAATTTCTACTCATTTACCAAACTATTTCGCTGTCAAATTTTTATTCGAGGTATACATATACGTTTCTCGTGTTAGGTTACCATATGGACCCGAAGTAGATATTTGGTCGCTAGGTATTATGATTATCGAGATGGTCGATGGGGAGCCACCGTTTTTTAACGAACCTCCTTTACAAGCTATGCGACGTATAAGAGATATGCCCCCGCCAAAACTGAAAAATTCTCACAAAGTAAACTACAAATAACGGTTCATAAAAATTCAGCCATATAAAAAGAAACATATTACTAATGTTTATTGTTATCGTACAGGTCAGTCCACGCCTTCAAGGCTTTCTCGAGAGAATGCTCGTTCGAGATCCAGCGCAAAGAGCCACCGCAACAGAATTATTACAACATCCGTTCCTCAGGCAGGCTCAGAGTCCAAGTATTCTAATTCCATTGATGAGAGGATCCAGGCATACGAATTGCTGACGAATCGATGCAAAGAATTAACACGGACATTGGTTACAAAAGTAATCGTGTCTACGATCGTTTTTAATTTGTTATTAGGCGTTAAACTTTAAAAGTAGATACGACTTAGAAAGATTTAAATGGCCTTTAGTCGCTAGACAAACTTACATTCCACCGCGGCCTTAACTTAGAGGCGTTAGATCGTCAACTTATAAAATGCCTTATCTACTGAGATAAGCATTATCGTTATAGAAGATATTTTTTATATCGAATTATTTAACAAAATATTGTACGCTCAAGTGCCTTCGTAATTAGCATCGTTTCCCGTTTTCCATTATAAGTTTAAGTTCGTTATTTAAATATCGACTTTGCTGTTCGTTATCTGTGAAGTTATTTACGAGATGAATATTTGACGAAAATTTTGTTGGGCGTCAATTGAAACAATGAAGTGATTTAACTGACCGATCGAATAAAAATATACTCGTAAACGCTGCTATTACGCGTGTACTTAAGGTAACGATCGAATAGTCATATTTAATTCAGATAGCGTGTGACGCGACTTCGAGCACCAAAAGACAGAAATAATTAGTGTCTAATGAGAGTACAATGCCTAAATTGATTTTGTACGATTACTAATTTTAAACAAATTAATAATTATATGTAACATTTGGTGCACGTTATCATACTAACGAATTGTGACGAAGTGGTTCAAATTATTCGACAAGTATTGAATCTCTCTTCGAGCGTGTTTAATTCAGTATTTTTTATCTAGTGCCGTCAATGAAGAGACATTTGAAGATTGAACGTACGATAAACTCAAATTAGCGTTAAAAACATAGAACTTGGTACGAAGTTGTTAAAAGTTCGAAGTTGAAGTTGTTATTTTAACTGCGCTAGTTCACAGACTTACGAGTTTAAGCGTTTTACATAATAATTAACGAAAAGTTTCGGGCTGTAGTCGTATTATTAAAATATTTTAAGATTACTCACATTGAGATCCAATGCCATTTATCTTGATCGAAGAAAAGTTCAAAGTACAATACGGACAAAAGTAATCGATCAGGCAAACGATTTATACATATATAAATGATAATTATTTACAAAATGTAGATATTGAATATCGTTGTGCGGATAAGATGTATGTATACAAATTTTCGTGATATGACGCGAATCACGTAGCTACGCATACCTGCCATTCGTAAACTGTTTAAGCAACAAAATTCATCAAATCATCGTACTTCTATTTATGTGCAAAATAAAATGTTTTGAAGTGCTTTGCCATATAATTAAGTAACGAACATAGTAAAATAACGTTTATCCGATATAATAATAAAACAAGTCATCCACATTAATCAGGTTTCGAGGAGAAGGATTAAATGACTTGGCAAAATGAAACGTCAGAACGTAGAATAAAAGAGAAAAATTTATTCCCGATAATTTATTACACCGATAATACATTTGTACAAAAGTACCGCGTAAGATACAATAAAAGAAAAAGCGAAGTCTATCACTTTCCGTTTTACGATAAGTAATTGCAGAATATTAGAGTTGAAATTTATTATACGCGAGTAATCGTTTAAATAGCTTTTAAAATTTGCATACAACTAAAATACATGGCGGATAATAGCTTTTTTTTCTACAGTATCGCACGTTTGTAGATCACATAAAATATTAAATGTATTAAACCATCAATCGTACAAATCGTATATCGCCTTAACGATACGTTTCAATTTTTTCTAAGAATCTATGCGTTACTTTCACGATTGTTTTTACATAGTTTAAGGTATCGAAACATATCGTCTTGCGTCCATTGAGTCAACGACTTCGTCTATATTTAAATCCGGTACATTTTCACTGATATATGTGTGTTGACATAGAATTAAAAGAGATTTTCGGACAGCATTTAAATATACAATGGCGAATAATTTGCTTTTAAACATAATTATTTATGCATACCTATCGTTCAAATGTTAAAAAAATGGAAAACAAAAATTCTTTAATACGATGAAAGGATAATAAATGGGCGGAATTTCAAAGATGCATTTCGTTAATAACTTTTTTTTTACTTGACAAAACGGTAAAATAATAATGTTAATTGGCCGATACTTTTTCTTCAGAGATTACACGAGGACAAAGGTTTTAGCAATAATTTCGTGCCAAGTCCAAATTATGAACGTTATGTCACGTGTAATGACGTTCGTTATCTTTGTGTGTTCGATTGAACGTTGTAACACGTGACATTGAACGTAACATCTAATTTGATAATTTGCAAGTAAGATACACTTAAATTTTAAGAATGTAAAAGATCGATATCGACCGTCGGGTATAAATGTAAAATCGATTCGTCTTAGCTGTTAATCGCGAGAGGCGCTGATATAAACCCGGTAACTTACATAGTGAATGTAGGATAGGAAAGAAAGGCATTTTAAAATACCGCCATCTGATTGGTGAACCGCGTCGAGCCTCCGTTTTACCGAAACGATCTTCGTTCATATCATGCCCCTGTTGCGCTTCGTCAGTGGCGCCGTTGATGTTTCTCAATCGATTTCAGCGATACATTTTCATTAATTACATCAGCAAAAAATTTTATCGCCTGATTCACCTTTGAAACATTTATACCTGTTCGTAGAAACACTAAGAATTTTTCTTGAATAATACGTACATACACGGAATTCTTTGTCGCATCGAATGCTATTTCTATAATGCTATGTTTTCGTAAAAAAACTTATAACCTTACATAAAACGAAACTAAATTTAGTTACTTTCAAAATCCTACACAAAACATTGAAAAGTAAAAAAGATTACATATTGGAATTTACGTCAAGAGAACATACGTGCGTCTCGGTATGCGACTACGTGGCTGGCATAATAAATTTCATTCTGAAAATATGTGCGTACGTGGCATCACTCTGATTGCATCATATAGAGAAACAAAACATTTCTATAGAGATTAGAAAGGGGTACGATTATCTGATATGGAATATGCATCGAATAAATGGCACTTGTATAGAACAAGTTACAGATAATCTACAGTTTTATTAATCTATATTTACTTCACATAGTCTATTACAGAAAAAGAACCAATGAAATGGAGTTTCACGGGGGCTCGACTCGGATTGACCTCGACGGCTGGTGTGTTCGCCTTTCCAGAGAAGCATGACGGACAAATTCGCGTGCCATTACGTCACTCCATATCGATACCTAACTGTTTTCGTTTCTCCGTGTACATTACGATGTACGTACACGCGTATGTGTGTCGAGATACGATGAACTGCAACACGTGTGTAATAACAGATTTCACCGAAAATTCCTAATAATCGCGGTATTAAATCGATGAAACGCTGTTACTTTCAATAGTTATCTTTATTTAACTCGATCCCCACCGTTTCGTGTGCCTTTCATCATCTAATAACAGAGAAACGCTCTAAAACGTTCTCTGTATCGCCAATGGAAAATTTTGCTTCGTCGTTTCCGCTCGTTTAGTATTGGTCACGTAAAAGATTAGCTCCGAAATTAACACCGGCTAAAAATCACTTTAAATAACAAGGAACACATTCATCCAATGAACGACTTCTGTGAAACAAATTTAACCGAAATTATTTTTAGTTCTTCGTTCGGAAGGGGCAAATTTTTAAGTTATACAAAAGAAACAACAATATCGAATCGCACAAAAATATGACATGAAATTTGAACGTACTTAAACGACTAGAAGTTTCGTTTCGAACTCACGCATCGTTTGGATATCAATAAAGTTTATTTATATTTTTTTTGTTATACAAATTTTCATCACTAGAAGTTATAAAAAATGAAATAGTAAAAGAAAGCGAGAAAGAAAAAAAGGAAAGGAGGAAGAAATATGCACGATGGTAGGACCAAGGGGAAAGGAGGTATCGCTAAGCGTATACAGTGTTCGGTATATAGTACATATAACAGTGTATACGGGCGTTTCGTACAGAGTCGAGGGACGAAGAAAGAGCGAGAACGGAGGAAGATAGCGACATAGCAGAAAGATAGAACGTAGAGAAGGAGAGAAAAAAAGGAGATACAAGAAGTGGTAGCAACCGCGAGGTCATAAATATAGGCGCTGTTATACCCTTCTCTCGTTCGATTGGTCGAGCCTCCAGACGAGCCTCCACGTTCGTGACGACACGTAACGCCAGGCAACGATCAAACGCGGAGACTGTTGTCGGGCGAAGCAAAGAGGGGAAAATGAGAAAACGAGAAAAAGGAAGAAACGACCGAGAGAAAGAAAGAGAGGGCAGATGGCGCTGACACGAAGGAAGGAGCAAAGAGGGACGAGGAGAAGAAAGGAGCGACCTTCGAGCGTTTGGATCGCGATTACACCATAGCGCATAGTACCGCATAGCGATTGTACCAGATTGAAGATAAAACATTGTACCGATTACGCTTTGTTCGAAGATCGAAAACGATAAGCAGCGAATTTTGACGAAAATGGTGAAATTTTCAAATTCGTGATACCAGCGTTCTACATAGGTGACGCAACCATTTCAAAGAACTACTGTTACAGCGCATTCGATGTAACCGAGCGAATCGTCGTGTGTCACATTACGTTGTTTAATTGATCAATATGATCCAAAGTACGCTGGCAGATAAACGCAAATTTTCATTTCCTTATTTATCAAAAATTCTACTTTATCTGTAATGTAATTCTTTCGGACAAAAAAACGGCTCGACGTCCATTGAGATCACGCAATCTCGCGATCGCGCGATAGTACACGCGAAAATGCACTTTGCGCTTCAGGATTATACGGTAAGAGCGCGCAATTTATAATGCTAACACAAATCATTGCGATACATTATAACGTTTGTTACTATGCTAGATCGAAAAAGAAATTCGCGCTTCAAACTCGAGGTTGAATTTAAAGCGGAGTGGTATGTTGGCGGACGATATTTACCGCGGCCAGCTAAACACACCGAACAATTCAAAAAATATTTGAAAGCATTAGGAATCGCGTAAAAGCATAAATGACGGATGAGAAGAAGGAATCAGAAAAAAAAAGGAATAAAAGTAATCGTAAATGTAGAGGCGGCGGCGTTGGTAAAGTTCCGCTTCCACGTTTCGGTTATTTCCCCATTCGTTGAATGGACCATTCTTGTTGACACAATGGGCAACGATTGTTCTGCTTCACCCAAAGGGACATGCAACAGTAGTGGAACGAATGATTGCATTCTCCCCAGACGACCACGCAATCCTGTCGGCCGTCGTCCTTTTTACTTTCTGCTTGGCATCGAAGACACGCGTCTGAAAATGAAAACGCGATTAATTCAAACACTTTTACGAGATAACGACCCCGTCGATAGATTTGGAGTTTTTCAAACGCGATAAAATCGAAAGAATCGATCGCTTTCTGCACATATAAAAAAGATAAAATATATGGTTCGAGATACCTTTGATACGAAAAATCAAAGAAATCATCGGCTCGGTCGGTATCGACGTTGTTTCGGTTAATTTCTGCTATATCGGGTGTTCCGAGTACACGTATCTCGGTAAAATTCCATCGCCTTATCTACCGAACGTATTACACCTACTTTGTTAGATATGATCACTAGTTATTCGATACGATTTAGAAATCATAAAAAATGAACTGATCGGAGATCAGGAGATCGTCGTAACAGAATAATAGCATCGATTCGACGAACACGTCAGTTCCGATAAAACGACGATCGAGACCGATTAATTGTTAACGACGGTTCTCGAGGGTTGCTTCTCGTTGACCCGCACCGGGGGATCCGGGCAAACGTGTCAACCGTGCCCTCGAGTCTTACGCGAACCAACTGGGCATCGGGCCAATTAACTCTGACAAACGAGTCAACTCGTCGCGGAATAGTATGTGGTTACATGTATAGATGATCGTAACGCGTAAGTCGTGCGTCGTGAGTCGAAAGTCGTAAGTCAGATATACTACCGCATCGTTGTTCCAGATCATTCTTCAGCGTTGGTTTCCATTCTTATTCCTCTCGGTCAGGCGGAGATTTCGTGCGCGATGATTCGTAAGATTCAAGCGTACAACGATTTTCTTTATTCTCCTTGAAACGTAACATCCATCTGATCCATTCTGTGTCAGACGGCCGGTCATACGCGTGTTTTCATCGAAGAGCTAATCTATGCAAATCGCGAGCAATCGTGCGAAAACGGCGGTAACTTTCCGAGTCTGTAATTTATCGATGCAACCGAATTAGAAACGGATTCGAATACGCGAACGAGTAATTACGCTCGGAAGCGGTTCGAGAAAATAATTTATCGAACGGATGGTTCGCGATAACGTACACCGGTTTTAGACACGGTGTTAACGGTGATGGGATTGCGATGGTTATCGGAATACGCCTCCGTATAGTCTGTGTATCGATCATTTCGATTCTCCAAAGGCTTCTCGAACGTTCGAGGAACACGCCCTCATCGATATCTTGACTCCGCGACGAAGAAGTACCGATCGAATGGCTCGTCGCGATCGATTCGTTAAGCAACAACGGAAAACGAAACTGACAGTACCTAACGAGAAATAAATGCTCCGAGAAGTATCGATTATTTATTCGACGGTGGATTTTGTCGAACGGAAGAAAACGGTGTTACGCTGGCGACGCGACATTTAAACCGGCTTGCGCGCCATCGTCGTCAACGACGTCTCGTACGCTATTCAATTGCTCGTGATAGCGTTTTGTCACGCATTTGCGTTTAACATGATTTAGAACGCGTTACTACAAAGAAAAGCGCCGGCGAGAGCATGCGACTGCTCGACCGTTTTCTCTCGCCGCGCTCTTTCACGTTTTCCTTTTTCGTCATCGCGGATGAAAGCCATGAAGTTTGAGCATCGAAATTACCAGGTATTTTTCCTTCGATTCGATATCAACGATTTGCTTCATCGATTAACCCCTATCGATCAACGAGTTGACCGTGTTCCGTGATGTAACGATATGCGACAATTGCCGAGGAACTCTGACCGCTGGAGAAACAGGGAAGAGAGAAAGCAATCAATCCATTAACACGAACGTTACGCGTCATGGCAAACAAATTCTCTAATATTTAATACGCCTGTTTCGGTCGGCGAAATAAAAATAAAACTTTTTTCTCTGACCACGCTTTCCTTCGATACCAAACACGATCGCGCGCGCAATTCCTTTGAAATTCCCTCCGCCTCCTGCCAGTTTTCGATATTTTTGGACGACTAAACATGACGCGAATCACGACCCTAAGTATGGTGAATGGCGTTGTGTGGTGACGTTACAGCATTAACGATCATAGGTTACGTATTTGCAAACATTCAAGCGCATCGTGTCGCATCAAATAAACATCGGTAGTCGTTAACGAAAGCGATTAAAGATGCAAAGAAAACACATAGTGTTTTTAACGATGTTACCAAGGTTGCATGTATTGCGTTGGAAAAATTACGTTTACGTTTAGGCGTCACTCGTTCAAAATCACCGCGTGTTGAATACGAGAGCGATTTTCACGATGCGACGTTGCTTCATTTCGATGATATACGGAGAATTATAGTCGATTTGAATCACTCGTAATAATCAGAGAGGAGACAGATGAATAAGCAATCTCTCTGGGCGTACCGTTGCACGTCATCTTGATAAACCCATACGAATTCTTCGAATGGAATCGTTTCGAACCCAACGAGTAGAACACGTCGCGCATCTAGAACTTTGGTCCGTCCTTTCGACGCTGTTCGGAGAGCTCTCGTTTTCGATGATCCAAACTATACCGCGTTTTAATGTAAACGATGTTCTTTCGCTGGCAGAGCGTATGAACAAAACGAATTTGCATCGAATAAAAACAAGATGAAAAAACGCTCTGCGGAAAGTAATGAAAACACAGGTGACGCAAACAAAACTGGTTAACGTTTCTGTTTTTTTCTTTTCAATATTTTTAAACCTGTATTTGTATCAATTTTTTTTTTGCCTTCAATGGGCATTATCTATAACTGTAAATATCAATAGATACGGAGTTGACCATTCGAAAAACAGCAAAAATCATATGAGACGAGGAATGAACCGTCATGTCAGAAGAGCGTGTTGAACACCGTTTCTTTTCTACTTGTCGCGTGACCAACATTGCGCATAAAAAACGAGCTACTGCAAAAACTAGAAGACATTTAATTCGACATTCGAACGCAACTGCTTGGCGAGGAAAAAAAAAGGTAAAGGTGAAGGTAAAGGTAAAGGTGAAGGTAAAGGTAAAGGTAAAGGTGAAGGTAAAGGTAAAGGTAAAGGTAAAGGTAAAGGTAAAGGTAAAGGTTGAAGAATTAGAGGCGGAGATGCAAGATAGGTGTACGTGCGCGCAGGCAGGATCGAGGGCGACTGTATACGGTCGCGACCGAACGAGGTCGAACGACTGGAACCTTCCGTGAAAAGCCCAGAGGATATCGGCGTCGCGGTCGAATCGTTGGAGAAACGCAACATCGCGATTTCGTTTCCTGCTACTCGCTCGTTAGTGGATCAGATTTTCACGTTTCGTCGATGATAACCCACGCGTTACTCATAGAGACGGAAATAAAGAGAAAGTTAACCGGAAGGAGTACAAAGTTCGTTCGTTCGATAAATCGATTAAAATTAGGAAATCGAGAATCGAAAGAACGGGTTGTGACAACTCGTGGCAGAAACGTTCTTTTGCGTTTTCAATCTGATAAATTTGCGTGAGAAGCCGCAGAATAACGCGTGGCTCCGCGACGCGAGGTGGATGGACGGGACGTACGGGACGAGACGGGACGGGACAGGACGAGACAAGACGAAACGACACGACACGACACAGGGGTTGGCGAGGAGGAGCGCGGTGAAACGATGCGAAACGGGTCGTAGTAAGGCGAGGTGAGGTGAAACGAGACCAAGCGGGGCCCCACCAACGGCGCGCGCCCCAGGAAAGAAGGCGGCGCTTACGACCGACCACACCGGACTCTATATAAAAGAGACAAACCCCCCGATCTGATTAGCAAAGTTCCAAACACGCGTAAAAGTGCATTTTACTTACGCTTTAAACGGCCTAAGCTTTCGTGCGTCACGAGTTATCAACGCAACACAACGAAAACATAGAAAATAAATTGAAAAGAAACAAGGATCACGTGGTTTAAAAGGAATTAACGCTGCATCGGCGTTCGACGATCCAGAGCATCGAAGCCGATAACTATTGAAGAAGAGAAGAAAAATCGTGTTACACACCATACACGTTCGTTCACTCTGTACAGGCGCAAAGCAAAAATCGACGCGTAGACGCAACGTGCACGAGAACGAAGCAAGACTAACGAACGAGCAAAAAGCAGATAACACGGCATATAGAGAACGGCACACAGCACGCGCGGCATCCCACGACATTGTACGAATAGCAACAGAAGGGTAGCGGTGGCGTCATTGGTACCGTTTCAGTAGTGGTGGATTGTTCACGTGGCATCGTTTAGGTTCTCTGATCATTCTCCGTCGAGTCACGCGAGAGGGTGGTCGCGTGTAGATACGTCGGAAAAGCAAGCCGGAGAAAAGAAAACTCGCACAACACGTTCGAGCTGTTCGAAAAATAGACCGCGTGGCTCGCCTCAATCGATAGAAGTCGTACGCATCGAGACATCGGAGACAACGATTCGATTTACGCTCAAGCCACACCGTTTATCACGATAACACGAAACACTTGGTACGACAAAGCATTAACGGAATTTTCCTGTCGAATAGTGGAGGATCGATCTAAAGATCGGATAGAAGAAAGTCGTTGACGGATATCAAGAATCCGGCTGACAGGCAGATTCGATTCGTTTCGGCGCGGTTTTGCCTCACGATTGATCGACGAAATCAACTTAACGAGATAAACATTTCGAGGCATTCCGACAAAATGTCCAATTCCCAGAGAAGACGGATGATGCAGCCATGGCCGCTGTTCCTAGTGCCTTTTCCAAAATCGAAGGTAAGACCACGCTAATCTCACGTAACGCGCATTCGATCGCTCGTAATCGACAAACCAGCTGTTCTCCGCCGGCTTCTTTTCGCCTGCCAAGATAACCGTGTTCCTTCTTCGTTCTGTCTTTCTCTTCGAGACCGCTCTTTCTTTGTTCCTTGCACGTTTCTTTCCACAATTTGTACTCTCACCACCTCGCTCTCTCGCTCCTCTCGAGCTTCTGGAAAGTTCCACTACGCGTGTTCGCCGGCGCTGTCACTGACGGTCGTTGGCGCTGCAGATACCGCCGGTACCGGTGTCGATATCCATACCGGTGCCCAGTGTCATTATCATTGTCGTCGTGGTCGTCAACGGCAACAATAACGACGCGCTCCGTCACGATGCGTTTCCCTATTTATCCAAACTTTTCTTGTTCGATATTGTCCAAAAATATCGTGCGTCGTCGTCATTTCCATGCTGCGACCATGACGTTAAATCTCATCTTTTACACGTCCACCTTTCCCGCGTTCAAATATTTCTATTACGTGTGTACATTCCTGGTCCTTTCCCTTTTCCTTCTAGGTCAGAATCCTCTTTTCGTTCTTTCCTTTCGTCTAATTTTATCGTCTACGTGCGTGGAATTTATCGTCCTTCCGACCTCTCGTTTTCTCGTCTCGCTTCTCTTTCTTCTTCGCTTCGCAGCTATCTTTATTCCTGCTCCCTTCTCTTTTTTGACACTCTGCCCCTCCGCCGACTAAACTATCTCTTCACCGTCGTTCGTCTCGACGCTCCTGAAACGCTGCTATCCACTATCGTTTGCTTTTCCGCTTTTCTATCCATCAGCACGCACCGTTTTGTTCTCACGGAAATCTATAAACGAGTCCACGACGTCGGCGGAGTTTTTTCCGGACGTACGACGAGACATTTATCTTTTGTACGCGTACTTTTCTCGTTCGAATTCGGCGCAATATCACACTCGCGTCGTCGCGTTAACTTCGGAATAGTACGTTTCCTTTCGTTCGGAAATTATCGACCGCCAGGGTAGAGCCATGCACGAAAACGTGGTTCGAATTCAAACACGATTTGTTTCGTTTCAAACTAAGTATCTTTCGTAAATTACTCGTCTGTTTTTTTTTCTTTCTTTCTTTTTTTTTTGGATCGAACCGAAACTGTTTCAACGATACTCGCGAGCGTTCGGGTCGAACAATCGAGAAGTTCGCGTCGTCGCGCCGATTAATTTTTGGAACGCGATTCGTAAAATGGACCGTCGTCACCGTTCACGTACGAATTTGAAGAAATGCGAATAATTTCGAAGTTTGGATTTTTAGGACTCGTCGTTCACCAGAATCGTCGACCGACGTGTATCGAAAGATGGTATAAATTTTGTAATGCAAGAAGAAAATTTTCAATAAATGGTATTTTTTAACCGTTGTCATTAGTTTCTAAGTATTTTCGGACCTGCTTCTTCCATACCATTCACACTCGTCGTTCTTGATAACTCTTGTTTTCGTTTCATTTATTTTTTCGCCGCATAATTCGTTTCATATTCGTCCCGGGAGATACAACACCGATAGAAGCCGGCATTCGTAATAGACGTCGCACGAGAAGAACCCGTTTCGAATAGCAAAGCGCGCCCCGGTTAAATAACTGGGCGCGATTACTATTTCGAGCAACTCGCCGGCCGTTTTCGCGACGAAGTTCGTTGACTAGCTCGTTCGCTGTTTCGAATCGATTCGGCGAAAATACCGTGTTCTCCGTTTGATCGAGAACGAAAAACAACAGCGCGTTCGTTCTAGAAACCTATCACCGTTTTATCATCGCACGCGCTCGTTCCGGTCACGGTGCTCGCACGCGGCCGGATAAACGAAACGTTTTTTCGTATCTTCGTACGTACATCGATCGCGGGATTCAGCGTTTGTTGTTCATGCTCTATTTGTTAAACAAGCAACGCGTATCGACTCGTAAACGGGACAAAGAATCGTTCGCGGCGGACAAAGGGCACGATAACGAGCGACGATACGGTTTGGGTATGAAAGAGAGAAACGAGAACCACCGATTCCGAAGAATTTTCGGGACGAAACGGCGCGATTAGATTCGGAAAGAAACTGCTCGATGCGCAAACGAGCAACGAGATTCGGAAGTAATTATCCTTGCGGCGAACGGATGCGGTGAATCGCGTCGGCGATGACACTGCCGCGAAACGGCGAGAAACGGGGCAGAAATAGGGAAGAATAGGTAAGACGCCAAACGGCTTAAACGCGTTGATAACGCCGGGAAAGAGTCGTATATCGCGAATAGTGACAGGCTAGATATCGAAGATTACCGACTCTATCTGGTACTCCCCGCTATGTCGCTTTTCCTACCATAATATATATTTCGGCCAGCAAGATGTGGGCATTGCAGTCGACTTATTTCTACGTTAATTGTCACGGACGCAGCGCTAAAATGCTTCGTCAGCAACGAGTGTCTACGCCGCTGGTACGTCACTATTGCTTTATGTTTACCGCAATCGTTTCGAACTACTGTCTCGAACCGAGTAAAAACGCGCGTGCTTAGTTTCTTCTTTATGGCGTGTTCCGAAGACGGATCTCCTATCGGAGATCGTTCGAGCGTGAGGCGCATCGAAGATTCGTCGCTTCGAGGAGATACCCAGCCTCTGGTTTTCGAGCGAGAAAGCGTCGAATCGAGAAAGCAACGGAACGCGCGTCGCTTTGCGACGCCAGAAAGTTCGACAGGATTTCCTTCGCGCTACGTGGCGCTTTTTTCTCAAATATACGATCCTTCTTTCGTTTCTTTTTTTCATTTCTTCTCTACGTAAATCAACCGCGCAACGCTCACGCATTCGCAAGTACGCACGCACGGATAACCATTACCTATCCTTGACGATCGATGTCCCTGATCGTAGCTTTCTTTATGTTTGTTTGTCTCTCTCTTTCTCTCTCTCTCTTTTTCTGTTTCGCTTTCATTTTCATTTTGTATGACAAATAACGTACGATGACCTTCGTCGAATATTTGGAGAAACGTACGATTCGTCTTTATATTTCTCGTTCCGTTTTCTCACTTTTCGATCGAGGATTACTTTCGAGTTCGATTTCTGCGCTTCGCGAGCTAGACACATCTACGGACATGGTACATGATAGAGGAGTTTCGCACATCATGGACTCGCTCGAGCGTTTTTCACCGCTTCGAACAAATTGATGCGCGGTACTGGTCAACCAGCAAGGAAGCAAAAACAGCGCAGCTTCGTTTTTACGACGCGTACCGCTAAACTTCGCTCTTGCAACGAATTCACGGTCAGGCCAAGATCGATTCCAGCGCCTATGAAATATTTCTCGGAATCTAATCGATCGTAGGTTCCGCTTTCGAAGCTGGTCGGAAAAACAACCGAGACCGAATAATTCTGATCGCGTAATTCGCGCTCGAACAAAATTAACTTTATTAAATAGTCGCGATAAAAATGAAATTGGAGCTGTATCGGAAACTGGAGCGAATACCGCGAATTATTAAGTTAAAACAGTGGGATTTTAATCGAACATGTTTGCTTCTTACGGCCCGTGCTACGATCACGGATTCGTTTCGCGCGTTTCACGGTAGCTGCGAATGACGCAATTCTTTGCTGCGTTTGCAAGATATTCGGATCGATTTTCGCACGCGTTTCAATTTCGACCAACGTTTCGCCAGAACGTGCAATTTTTCTTTCCGACGACCGCGCCTTGCGTAGTTTTCTCTTTTATTTTTCGAACGACGCGGAAAGACAGGAGAAAAGTTTGTACCCGAAAAGGAAGAGCTAATATCGGCGACGATGTTTTTTTTTTACCGACGTTCGAAACGAAAATAGCGTTCGTCGAACGGTCCAGACTACGAGAACGGACGTTAAAAATATATATGGTGAGCGCGCGAGTAGCGCGTTCTGGAAACGTAATGGCAAATCTAATTTCGAGAACGCGTTCAACGAAGGCTTACGTAATTTCGTTGAATCGTTTTCCGAAACTCGGATTCGTTCGTTACCGCCCCGTCCCGGTTATCGTACTTTATTCGCGATGCAACGTCTGAAACACGAGATTCAGCGATTTCGAGAATCGGAACGGTGCGGTTCTTTCCAGATGCGATGCCGTCGCCGAAATGCCGACGAAGATATTCTTACGGGATAAATTAACTCGAACGATAACAGAATCGCGTATTCTTTGATCGCGTAGGCGACACGCGCGACACACCGCGAATCCGATACGGAACTCGATTCTCCGTGTTTGGTCGGTGCAAAACGCTCGCGTTAGATAGCGCCACGGTTCACCGACGTCGAGAAGAACTCTTCGCAAGTTCCAGGAATGCGCAACGTACGGTTTTCTGGAGCCGACTGCTGGAAAGATTGGGCGGCTCGCCACTCACCGATATTTGTCAAATGGAAAAAAATACCTTCCTTCTTCTTGTTCTTCTTCTTTAGAGGATACGACGAACGAAGATGCGTGGAGTACGCCACGACCTCGCCACCGAGAATCTTCGGCAATGTATCGAGGACAATCGGATATCGAGGAAAACGAACGATATCGGTGCCGCCCAAACAAAAAGATAGCACGCGTAAACAACGGGACGCTTGACCCCGAAATGCAAACGGCCTCTGGACGATGACGAAAACTAATCAGCAGCCGATTACTCGGATCTCGACGGCGTGATCGCGACACGGAGTCTAGCGAAAATGGCCACGAAAAATAAACGACGCCGAATACGGTGGTCGAGCGACGAAAACACGGAAGAAAGTCGAGATAAGAATCGATCGCGTACGAAATCGAACAACCGGAACGATGGTACGAAACAGCACGAAAATTACCGTATAATTCACGAAATCGAAACCGCCGCGATCTATCGAAGTAAAACTGACCGCGTATCGGAGGATCGCGTACCCGTTGAAAATGGAAAACTTTTATGAAACTTATGCGACGCGACAGATTCGACCGTGTGCATAAAGACAATCGCGATTATTCGCCAACGCGATAGGAAAGCGATTATTTGCAAATCTAGGCTGACCCGAAATTGCGCTTTCGTTTTCAATTTTCAACGGAAATCGATAAATAGACGAACTATGGAGAGGGGGTGGATAATAGAAATAAAGAAAAGGGAGAATCGCGTTAAAGTTAAAAGCGTCGGACGAACAGCACGGAAAAACAGCGTGCGCGTGATCGAACATGAGCGTCTAACGTGATAATCGATGCGCGAAAAATTCGGTCGATTCGGATAGTCGGAGGAATGATCGTTTCGGGGGAGGGCCAGGACACTGCGGCACGCGGCATTTTGTGTACGTGCGCGACTCGACCGAGCCGCGGGCGTCATATTCGCCAAAAGTAAAAAGACACACGGTTTGGTCATGAAGTTCAACGCGGGTTATCGACGAGCAGGGTAAAAGTCATCTGATTAACGTCTAAGAATCACGCTGGCTTCTCGTCCCTCGCTTTTCGTCATTGGTGCGTTACGATAATCGCTGCGTTCTTCCTTCTCTTTCTTTTGTTCGGTATTATTTTGCTTCGCGCCATTATCGGTAAACGAAACTAGTATAAATACTCCGGATCCAAGTTTCATCCCCTCAAGATAGTCGATAATTCTGTACGGACACTGTTTTCGCGCGTTCCGCGAGATCGATTCTTCGTTTGTTCGTTCGTTCGTTCGTTCGTTCGTTCGTTCGTCTTAGAAGAACGGTGTACCGTGTGCTTTCGTTGACGTATCTGGACATTGTTTCTATAATTCGTACCGAGGTGTACGAAAAAGCTTGACAAAGAAAACTAGTAGAAGTATCGTGAAATATTGGTTGGATCAGGCTGTACGGTTGCACGGACACGAAGCGGACGATCGATCGAGGATCGCGTAAGTTCGGTCATCGAAAACGACTCGCGAATCATCGTGTGCCGCGCTGTTTGTTACCATATCATGGACCAAACGCGTTCGAAACTTCGGACTTTAGGGAGAAAGAATATTTGCCGACGGGCTAAATGACGGGACAGTTGGAACGATCGAGGAAAAACTGGGCCCCGGAATTTTGGGTCCGCTTGATCCCATCGGCCAAATATATTCCTCCCTACACGCTATGCGCTAAAAGTTCTTTTTCGTCCGCGGAACGCGACACTTTCCGCGACAGGACGAACGCGATCGAGAAAGGTTCACGCGTTGATTTTCTGTTTTCAGGAGCGAAACATCCTTCCACGATATTACACGAAGGTGCCGTCGGTCGCGAGGTCGACCACGACCAATTCGAGCATCAACCTAGACTGCTCGTCGAACGCGACCCTCGCGACGAACGTCAGCCCGTTCAACAGCCAGACCGCTTTGATCGCGGAAAAGAAGGCGCTTCCTCCCGGTAACAACGTGGCCGACGCTAGTACCAATCACTATTATGCGCAGAACCTGAGGAATAATCACCAGAAGGCCCTGAACGGGTCTCGCGTATACGATCCCCTCGACAAGGATCACGATCGCGATTACAAACAGCTCGATCCGTTGTTGAACGACGAATCCCCGTTCGTGGGGGTCGTGGCCAACGAAAGAAAAATGAGTTCGCAGGACATCAAGATGAAGGAATCGGCGAGTACCGGCAAAATTCGTGGAACCATGAAACCCCTCCCGGATCCTAAACCATCGATCATGCATTACGCCAGTCAGGTAATTACTCTTTTTTATTTACGCGCTCGAATCTACAGTGGCTTCAAAACGTTTCCACGTACCGCGCTAAGAGATAACTTTTTTTCTCAAATCGGACCAAACGACATGATATTGTGTGAAATAATCTGCCCTTTTGTTACGCCATTCCAAATTTTGCGAAATGTTGATCGCGATTCCATTCGACGTTGGACGAAATCGACATAGTGGTACGCGAGCGACTCTCCGCGGTAGCGTAAAGGAGATTTTCCTTTACGAAAGACGATTACGGAGGAACCGATAACGGAAAGAGCGTCGGTAGTATCGTTTTCGCGCGGTAGCGCTTTCGAACTACGTCGACCAACGAATTAAAGTAACGCGAGAAAACGGCGGAGACCTCGTACGTTTCTACTCGCGTACCGATCTCAAGGATAGCGCTACCGAGTATCCTTGAACCATTTTTCGATTTGCCTCGACTCGGTAGGATCGTAACTCTCGACGCGAAACTCGAGTCAACGTCGCGCGACGACGAAAACGATCGCGGTCGCGACGCC